GAGTGGTCATCTCGGTCGTGAGAAGACCTACGGCTCAGTCAGCCAATGCTATTGGTGGCCCAAACTATACAAATGGGTGAGCACATATGTGCGTACGTGCGAAACGTATCAACGGGTGAAGCCCTCGCCTCACGCGACCGCGCCGCTGGCTAGTTTGCCTGTACCCAAGGGGTATTGGTAGTCCATCAGCATGGATTTTCTGTTCGGTTTACAAGAAGATTCGTATAAAAATACGGGTATTGTGGTCTATGTTGAACGTTTGAGCAAGATGGCTCATTTATCGGCGGTGCCGGATACCATAGATGGTGAGGGTACAGCTACGCTGTTTATCGATCGAGTATTTCGACAAAACGGTTTGCCGTTTGCAATTGTCTCTTACCGAGACCCTTGCTTTACTGAAAATTTTTAAAAATCCATCTTCAAGGTGCTCGGCACACGTTTGGACATGTCCACAGCGGATCATCCGCAGACTGATGGTAAAACCGAGCGAGTGAATCGCATCATCGGTGACATCTTGCGCAGTGTTTGCGCTGAAAGAGTGAAACTTTAGAGTTCGATGCTTTCTGTCGTTGAGTTTGCGCTGATTAATGCCTTGCATGCCTCCACCGGCTACAAACCGTTTTATGTGAATGGTAACACACACCCTTGCGTTCCGTTAACGCTACCACTGCGTGGTTCAGGGGTTGGTGGGGGAGGAGCTGCCGATCGGCTTGCTGATATCAGGCCTGATACTGTTCAAAAACAGGTAAGCGAGTTTCTCGCAACGCGATTAAATGTCTTACGACATTTGCGTGACGCACTGGCTGATAGCCAAGACAAGCAGAAGGAACAAGCTGATGCTAAAGGCAGAGGTTGTATTGAACGTTGTGAGGTCGGAGACCAAGTTCTACTCAATGCTAAAAAGCTATCTACAAATGTAGTTTCCGATGTCTTCAAGACAAAGTTGCGCCCGCGCTTCATTGGACCCCTTACGTTCGTCGCCAAGAAGGAACTTGCGTATACGCTCAACCTTCCGCGCAAACTGCGCACACACCCCGTGCTCTACGTGGGCTTGCTTGAGCCGTATCGGGATTCGTCCCACGTGAACTTGGAGGCGCTTGCGCCGCATAGGTTGGCCTTGACATCGGTTGCTGAATCCGTATCAGGAGGTCAAGCTGATCCTACATCCTGGCTTGGTCCAACTTTAACGCCTGGACACGGTCTTGGTCCAACTCCTACACCTCAATAAGGTCTCGCATCGCGTCAAACGCACTCTGGGTCTGACCCAATGTCTCACGGAGACCACTCAACTCGAGAAGCACCTTCTCATGCTCCTCCTTCGGTATACCGACCACCTCCGACGCTGCTCGATGAGCAAGGGAACCGCCAGTTCCATTTGAAGCGACTGCTGAAACGACGTCGTCGTCAGGGTCAATACCAGTATCTGGTGAAGTGGCGAGGGTACCCGGAGTCGGAGAACTCGTGGGAGTTTGAGAAACCCCTTCGGCAGGATTGCCCATACGCCTTGGATGTTTTTGAACATCGTGGCAAGGGTCATCCCTCGACCTAGAGCGCTTCTCACCAATAGTGGTGGAGGCAGGTGGGTAGTTGGGCACCGCTTGACCAACACCCACATCAACCGGCACAGCTGGAGCATAGCATGTGCGAGTTCGCAACTGGCCTCTGGCCTTAAGCTTGGCATAATCATACCAAAGCTTTCGTTCTAGACGAACATCTGCCACATTGGCACTTTCGCTGAGAGCTAACGCGCTGCTGAGGTGTAGTTTCCGATGCACCCAGCGAACAAAAGCGTTGTCTTCTTCCTCCTGAGATTATCTTGCGAATACGAGGATGGGTATACCCTTCATCGGTGGAACCGGTGCACCCCGTGCTTGCGTGTCAAGTCGCAACTTGTATTGACTCTGAGTCGTCAAGTAAGGTTGCAGATACCTCTCGCAAAGTACCTGTCGACTCGCCACCTCATCAGAAGATGTCAACTCAGCGCCAATGGCCCACGTTGCCAAAGAACGACCTGTCGTTTGGCGTATACGCTCTTCCACACTGAGTGGGGTGAACAGATAGCCACGACGACCCTCAAGAGTTGCAGCAAGCTGAATACGGCGCTGAGAGCTCTCCTCTCGATGAATAGCCAACTGTTGTTGCTCATCGAGCGGATTGGTGATGACGGCATCGCCCACGATGGGTGTTTGATGCGGCGCCGATGGCGCGTTGGCTTCGCCACGCTCGGCAAACGGTTTTGGTGCAGTATGAGTCGGTGTCTCTTGCATTGGTGAGTAGGACATTGTCCTCTCTTCACCATGGACATCGGTATCGCTACCATAATCCACCTTTACATCGATGCCGAGGTATGACGAGAGATTCGAGGACTCATGGGGTGGTGATGCCATGGTGTTTTGTGTTTTGCCAACCGTGAAGGTGAAGCGCACACACACCGTCCTCTTTGAGGAAATATTTCGATTGACGTTTCGTGGTAACGTCAGTCTGGTGGGGGAGGGTGTAACGGGGTTACACGTCGACTGGTAGTCGACAATAGGCGTGGTGCACACAAGGGATGGGATCCCCTTTAAAGTAATATTAGAACAGAGTATTAATTGTTGAAGACTGATGTCTGTCAACCATCGATTACGAGGTCTTTTAAGAGGTTATTTAGAACATTAGCGAGTAGGTTATTTACTTTGTTCTAAGGTGTTCTTTTAAGTTAAAAGAAGAAATAAAATATAGTTCCCATTTTGATCAACATAAGACACGTGTCTCTTTGAGGCGTCTTGTGATCATGGGGGAGATAGCAACGCCTTGATAAGGCATCTACTTCTTGTGCACTCTGTGCGTCGATTCTCTAAATCGTTTGGTCCCCCTGGAGCAGGAACCTTAAGCTCTCTGATCTCGTTGACTCTTTCAGTCGGGTTCGTAGAACCAAAGTTGCTCGCAGAGCGTTAAGTCTTTCTCTGACCTAAGGAGCTGTGTAGCTCCGCTACATTCACGGCGTGCTTTATGTGAAACGGTGTCGAGCGTGGCTTAGTTGACTTCCCACGCTTCTTTCCCTCCATATTAAAACAATGCAAAGACACGAGACTCTGTTCGATTTTACGTCGACAAGCTGCGAGAGGTGTAAGCCGACGTACTGGGGTGCGTAGACGGGTGGAGGGAGAGGTGGGACTGAGGACGGGTAGGGGCTGCTGGTTGCCTTTCGGTGGGTAAAAGTAAACAAATGAATTGAGAGTGTGTAATGAAGGGACTACTTACAGTAAGTGTTATTAACTTGCAAGTTCGGCTACTTTTGGATCGGGCACTTGCTGGGATTTAGATTCGGCATTAGAAATAAATTTATGATGCTTAATCTGCAGAGGGCTGCTCATTCATCATCGGCCTCTGGTTCTTCCACGTGTCCAATTTCTTGTGGAAGTATCGCTTTGCCAAGCCTCTGATGTGGGGGCCGAGCAGGCATCACCTTTTCGTCCTCGCTCGACATAAAGCCACAATAAGTCTTGTCCATATTGCCAGCACGCAGGAAGTAAGATCAAAATCGAAGAAGAAACCAACCTTGAGTCCTTTGTAGAGCTCGCTCTTGTAAAACGGTGAATAGAAAGCTTGTTCAGGCTCGCATTTAGCGTTGCAAACAGCAATCGCATCGCGGACGCTTACGCTGCGACTTCTGCTGCCGGACATGATGCCTCGTCACCAGTTTGAGCTCGACCTTGTCCGTGTGGCTACGCAAGCGAAACAAGCATCGACTCTTTGAGGTCACGAGTGCGCGTGCGAGGCGGCCCCGCAGCTGGATCACGTCCTGGAAATTCCAGGAGTGCGTCAATTGTAACGGGGCAGCCTGTTACATGATATTGTCATTTTTGAGATAATGACAATAAAGAATATAATGTTGAATATTCTTTTAACAATATCACCAATAGTCGTGATATTGATGGGTCGACCAAAGAGTCTGTTCATTGGTTGATATCTTGATGATATCAACCCACCAATCGCCGCAAGACGCGCGCAATGAGTGGTGACGAGACGTCGTCATACATTCTGTTTGATTAGTATAATCAAATTTAGTCAAACAGAGAGACAGTGGTTAAAGACTTAATTATATCAACATAACAGTTCTACTTTTACCTTACCTACGCTTCCTCGTTTGCCTCGTGTACGTCTGTCGGGCGCGCCGAAACTCTTGCGTTAAGTTCACGCAAGGGGTGCCCCGTTACATCAATTGTTATCGGGTGTGCAAGCATGTTGGCGCCAAGCGTTGATGCGAACATGCCGCTCTCGCGCTGTGAATATTCCAGCTTCGCCATTTTGTCGGTCAGAGAGTGGTGAGGGCCGCGAGGATCTTATCGTCAGACGCCGAGCTCCCTCCGCGGGCCGGCGAATTTTTAACGACTGCGGCATCGCGTGCTGGCGGGGCAGTGCACGCTGGCGGAGCGCTTCTGTCGTGCGTGGGCTTCGCGCGGCCTGCTGATGCTGGTGTGGGCTTCGTGCTAGTCGTCGTAGCCATTGTCTCACCACCTGTAGGATCGTATGCGTGTTGCAGTGTAGAGGGCAATACGATTACGTATGCAGTTTCCTATCTGCATGCGCCTTGGTTGCTCGTTTCTCTACCACCCTCTGCTCGAAGCACTTCAGAACGACTGGTTGCTAGCCAACTTGTCCTTCAACTACTAGCTCTACCCGTGCTGTGCCACAACGAACGGCTAGCGCTTATCGCAAGATCGTGTGTCCTTTCGCAACACCTGCAAAAAAAGTCGACCGTCTCTGATCTTCAATGTCCAACAAATGCACCACTAGACACGACAGCTTTGTGCGCAATGTGACTTTTCTACACAACAGGCGACGCTATCGCTATCAGCAACTTCTACATGCGTTTGTATGGGAAACAAAAAGCTCGTCGCGACACGACACGAGACGAGGCATTCGCCATCTGAGCGAATCAGCGCTCGTCAATGACCTCAAAAGTGGTGTCCCGCACACCATTCAATAACCAATACAACGAGTCCTACTCTCCACGGATGGGTGATGCCGAAGTGCCGCCCGAGCCGCGAGTCCTGCCGGTACGTCCTTCGGTGCCACTGTGCCAGTCGTCTGTATGCTGTGTGTGCTTACCACCGCTCGTGTGCTGTGTGATGTTCCATAGGCAGCAGTTGTCGACGGCGTGCAGGATGCTCTGATTGGGATGCGCACCCGCACGAGCTTTGGGTCGCGGGTTTTCTGGGGGTCAGTAGTCAGCTGCTATTGGGTCTCGGGCGGTTGCTTCTACAAAGTGAGCTTTGACGACGGCGACGTGGATCTCTTCTCGGCGGACGAGGTCCTCCAGGACGTTGCTGCAGCCAAGCGACATGCGAAGGAGAACCCACAAGCGTTACAGGAAGAGCAGGGGAGTACATGTGAACCTGCGAACGAGACGACGGGAGACGACTACGTGACACTCATGAGGCACCATAGCTTGAAGCGGAAGCGGGAAGACGGTGCGGGCGTTACGGCTTCGCGCACGAGGCGCGTGCGTCTGTGGGGTCAGAGGCTGTATGCATCTATCTACACAAACCGGCAGAATGAGACGTTTATCAAGAAACTGATCAAGACGGAGGAGGGAGAAACCGGGGAGATGGAAGCTACAGGAGAGGTCAAGGTGGGCGACATGATCGTAGCTGTGGACGGAACTAGAGTGCTGGGCATGACGAGCAGGGACCTGGCAGCACTCATTCGGAAACCCAGGCGACCGATTACGTTGACGTTCTATCGACCACAAGGTCCAGCGGTACTTGCACAGCAGCAAGAGAACCCGACGACGACACGGGACAAACAGCCCGTCGCGTCGAGTGCTCTAGCGACGGTTACGGCTGCTGAAGCGCAGACACAACCGATTCAGCAAAACTTGACGCAAGCTCAGTTCGTGTCGTCGATTCCGCTTGCCTCTGCAACACCTGTAACGCAAACTGTTGCGTCAACCCCTGCTCTGGTACCGCCGTCGTATGCCGTTCCTCAGCAATCGCTGACCCGCCCGTCGTCGATAGTGCAAAAGATGGCTGCTCAATGGATCCAACAAACGTGCATGTCGCAGGCATATGACCTATCGTCGAGCAAAGAATTGATTCTGCAACGACTGAGTCAGATTGCTGCTGCAAGGCAAGCAGGCTACTTATTGGGGTATCCACCGGGCATGTTTATGCATGGAAACGTGCTTTCTACTGGTGCAGTACCTGTAGCTAACGGCAGCACAACTCAGTCCCATCCGATGTGCTCTGCTACGCAACGAGTCACCACCACTGTTCCACTGACACCTACGCCGGATATTCGGACTCATGCTGCACAAGATACGAGACCGATGTACCAAGCCGGAGTCACCACGTCTGTCAATCAGCCTTATCGTAACCAGGAGCAAGGTTGGCAACAACATGACGGCAGGATGGCTCGTGCACAAGTGCAGCAGGTGCAGACAGTGCCTGGTCCGACTGGGCATTCCAATGAGCGAATACTATCCAACCCAACAACAGAGGCGAACGCAATGACAAATGAGATGCCTGTACCTGAGGCTGTGTCGAAGCAAATGGAACAGGAGTCTACAACGTCGCGGCAATCCTTCGATCAAGAGGTCGTGAGCAATCGAAAGTCGGCTGAAGATATCTCGCGTGAAAGCCTCAGCTCCACAAGCAACTCGGAGTCCTCTGCTTCCATTGTTGGCGCGAAGACGCTAGTTGTGCAGGATACCGAAGCGTCTGCAACACTGGACGATAAATGCTTGCAGGCTGCTGAGCATGGTATGGACGTCTCTACGGACACTTCGTTGCCGCTATCAACGGATGTGCCGGAAGATGAAGAAATGGACGATGGGACTTTGTGCGTACCGGCAAGTACACTGGCTGATGAAAGTCGATTGACGGTGAAGGCGGAGGTGAGTGCTTCCACCTCGATGTCGTTCCTTTCGCCTAGCGATTTCAGCAGCGAGTCGAGCGTTCTACCGCATCAGTTGTCTGCTGGAAGTGCACCCGCTCCCTCTGCCAAAGTCGAGTCAAGCGCTGGCCTCGTGAGTGTAAAAGTTTATCGTCGCCGGCTGTGCCTCACTTTAGGTGTTCAGGGTACTTTGATTGCAGTCACTTCGTTCGTCTCGGACGACTGTGGTCAGCCTGGCGAGGTCGAAGCGAGCGGCCGCGTGTTTATTGGCGATGTCTTAATGCGTGTCAACGGAACCTTTATCGTCCCAGGGTTGACGCCTGGTCATGTAGCAAATATTGTAACCTGCTCGCCAAGGCCAGTGACACTTTGGTTTAAGCGCGCATCGTGGGATATTCTCGATGGCAAAGCGTAGTGACCAGTCAGCAGCAGCTACACACAAGCGGAGCGGCGGGAAAGCGAAGGATGGTATTTAGGACGTTAGTGATGTCAACATGCTAGACCTATGTGAACTGAGCTTGTGTTACCATGTGCTCTCACGTCATCACTATTGCGCTGTTCGGGGCATACAGCCACTTACTGGCACGGCAAGACCACACCTGACGAAGCCACGTCCAACTCAAAAGACGTTGTCGTACTTCTCCATCGCACCGGACACTGCATCAACGACCCTGACTTCGTTCATGACGTAGACCGAACGGAATGCGCCAGACTCGTCGAAACGCTGGATCGTGCGAAGACGGCGCGAGCTGTCGATGCCTGTGATTGTCTCCACCATCATCGGACGTCCTGCAATATCGAACAACAACTCGTCAAGTAAGCACTGTGCCCCACAAGAGCGCACACAACCCGATCGAAAGATGAGCAACAAGTTAGTACCTGAACGCTTGGAAATAGCCGTGATGATGATGACGTTGGTGCCGAGCTCTTGCATGGTAATATCAGAGCCACGCAACGTCGGGTCATCCGTCTCGATCTTGAGGATACCGTCCGACACGGGCTTGATCCACATGTGCTGCATGGACGTCAGTCCACTCATGGTCGTCCTCGACTGGCGCTGACTCCACACGCCCTCGTCGTCCCGAAACGCGAGCTCATTCGAGCACACTTGGCTGCCCTCTTCCTGTGGGGGAATCGTCGCGAGCTCGCCGTTCCATCGACCCTCCATACTGGGCAGCACGTGAAAGCTGCAGCCATTGACGCGGACCGAGAGCTGGTTGAAAAACGCCCTGCCTGCACCCACGTTTTGCTTGGCAAAGTGCGACGGTAAGCTACTGTTCAGCGAGCGCGAGATGATGCTTTTCTCCATGCCAAGGCGGTGCACGGTGCCGTCAGAGTGGGCCGCCCAGATATTGTCTATAGTGCAACCACCGTCGATACACCCACACATCACAACGTTAGTACCAATGTCCTAGTGAACAAACAACCCACACAATTTCCCCGTATCCCATTCATCGGTCCCTCCATCAAAAGGAATGGCCCTAGAGCTATGGGGACTCTCCAGGTAGTAAGTACCCCAGACACCAACAGGCTTTTCAATGCACGTCCAACCTTCTTTCAACAGCTGCATGTTGACCTCCTCGTGCTTCCTGCGGTTCTTGATGCTCTCGGCCAGCACCTTATAGTTCAGCGGGTGGAACGGCTGGTGCGCCACCTCCATGTGCACGAGCACATCTCCGTCCGTAATGCCCAACTCCGCCAGCGTCTTCTCGTCCGACAGCTCTTTGCCCTTGTGCAGCAGTGAGATGAAGTTCGGGTGGCCCACGTTCTCGCCGTGTTCCAAGTACGCGGCTTTCACGCCGGCGATGCTCTCCCCGGGGAACGTCTCGAGGGCAAACGCACTCACTTCGTTCCGGATCGTCACTTTGATCTTCTCAGCAGTTGTAGCGGCAGTTGCAGCGGTAGTCGCAGCCGCAGGAGCGGTCGCTGGAGACACTATGGACGTCATAGTGACTGGCGCGCGTCAAATAGAAACGTCGACGGTCGAATCGTATGGAAATGAGACGACGAGCGCGACGGGTGCAAAAAGAGATTCTGACGACGGACGACCGGAGAATGGGTACGGGACCACTTCAAGTGCGAGCGCGTCAACAACGCGTGTCGAAAAATCGAGAAACAGGAGGAAACGAGAGGGTATGCTGTCGAAAACGGCCGCGAGAGAGCTTAGAAACGGGTACACTTCGAAACAGCATGCGGTTCTAGAGGTCGATGCCGCCTGCAATCGTTTGTCCGACACGTTTTGGTCGCTTTTAGAAACGCAGAGGGGGTACACGCTGCTGCGTGTGTGCGTGTGGTGTGCGTGTACCCCTCCCTCACTGGTTGGGGTACGCGAACGATCACGACCGACGGACACACAGACAGACACGACAGCGTCCCAAGTCCCTCTCAAGCCACTCCGCCTCCTCCTCCTCCCACTACTACTACTACTGCGACCGCTGCAGCAGCCACGATGCTCGTCTTGCGTCGCCACTCGCAGCTCCTCCAGCGCGTCTCTGACCGTTCGACCCGTGCGGGACGTCTCTACGCTCGACCCTGTGTCACAAACGTACGTCTGTCTGCACACTGTACCCCTATACGGCCGATATGCACTGAGCATAGGCACTCATACCCGCTGTGTACCCTCTTTCGTGGATGTGTTGCTGCAGTCCCTCGTGCGGCTACCGCTACAGCCTCTTCTTCGCAACCCTTTCGAAGCGATGGGCGCCAAGCGCTCGCTGTTTAACATGGCACAGCGCCGGAAACATAAGCAGCTCAAGGGTCTTGAACAAGCGGCCAATGCCAACCCCGAAGATGCGTACGCACAACTGCGTCTGTTGCAGGAGCTCAACCGGAACGACTACCCGGCGCTGGTCGTGCGTCGAGTGGAAGAGAACCGCTTTGCGCTGGACGACGCGGTGCAGAAGGAGTACATCAAGGCGCTGGTCAAGACTGGTCGACTCGATACTGTCGACCTGCCGCAATTGGTCCAGCCGGCTGAAGCTGCTGGGTCGAGTGCGGTCCGATATCTCCCGGCAAGCTCAGCCGTGGGCCGTGGAGTTCAGGGCTTGTCGTCCCATGACCCGGTCTACGTGTCCATGGTCGAAGGCAGCTTCAAGAGCAACATGTGGAAAACGCTGAGGACACTTGGCGTGGCGTTTCTTGTTGTGTCGGCGCTAGGAGCGATGCTGGACGAGAAAGTGGGCAAGATCGGCTCGGCATCTAAAGTCATGGGCCCTACAGGCAGTGACAAGCGCTTCAGCGATGTGAAGGGAGCTACCGAGGCCAAGCAAGAGCTGGAGGAGATTGTGCAGTTTCTGCGAGACCCCGCTCGCTTCACGCGCCTCGGCGGCAATCTGCCTAAGGGCGTGCTACTCACGGGTCCACCTGGTACAGGCAAGACGCTGCTGGCTCGTGCTATTGCGGGCGAGGCCGGTGTACCGTTCTTTTACTCGTCCGGATCTGAGTTTGAGGAGATGTACGTGGGTGTTGGTGCGCGTCGCGTGAGGGACCTGTTCGAGTCGGCCAAAAGGAAAGCACCATGCATCATCTTCATTGACGAGATCGACGCTATCGGTGGGACGCGTAAACTGAAGGAACAACAGGCCATGAAGATGACGCTCAACCAACTGCTGGTCGAGCTGGACGGATTCGACCAGAACAAGGGCATCATTGTGATCGGTGCCACGAACTTCCCGGACGTGCTGGACAATGCGCTGATCCGACCGGGTCGATTTGACCGGCACGTGACGGTGGATCTACCTGACGTGGCAGGTCGCAAGGAGATCCTCGAGTTTTATGGAGGCAAAGTTCCTCTTGCCGAGGATGTCGACCTGGATGTGCTAGCGCGTGCAACACCTGGCATGTCCGGTGCCGAGCTCTCGAACCTAGTGAACGAGGCTGCGCTGCGCGCATCGATGAAGAGCGCCGATGTCGTGGATATGAACGCGTTTGAGTACGCAAAGGACAAGATTCTTATGGGCGCCGAGCGTCGATCCGCTGTGATTACGCCCGAGTCGGCGAAGCTCACTGCTTACCACGAAGGTGGTCACGCGCTGGTCGCGATCAACACTCCGGGTGCACACCCTGTTTACAAGGCGACTATCATGCCGCGAGGACAGGCATTGGGCATGGTTGCCCAGTTACCTGATGGTGACCAGACGTCGATATCGCGGAAACAGATGTTGGCGCGGCTGGATGTGTGCATGGGTGGTCGTGTGGCAGAGGAGCTGACGTTTGGCGAGGGTGAGATCACGGGTGGCGCGTCGTCTGACATCCAGCAAGCTACGAACGTCGCTCGTGCCATGGTGACGAAGTACGGCATGAGTGAGAACGTGGGGTTGGTGTTTCACGACCTGCGTGGCAACGATACCAGTGCTACGACTCGCAAGATTATCGATGACGAGGTGAAGAAGTTGTGCGACGCGTCGTACAAGCGTGCGAAAGACATTCTCGTGAGCAAGCGTCTCGACTTGGAGAAGTTGGCGAATGCGCTGCTAGAGTACGAGACACTATCGGGCGCTGAGATTGACAAGGTACTCAAGGGCGAAACGCTGGAGCGCAAGCCTATTGAGTAGGTGCGACAAGGACCGATACAGCAACAGCACATGTGTCAGGGCAAGGGATGCGAGAGGGGAGCTGTACAGACAGAGGTAGGTAGGGTGTAGGGGGTACGTTTTGATTCCGTGCATGTCACTTGACGGCTGCGCGAGAAGAGAAAAGAAGATGTGTCGTGCCACTTGGTGTGCATTTCCACAGATGTTGTTGCTCAGCGCATTGGAAAGATGCTGAAGCTGCCATCGAGCACGCGGCCACCACCAAAACGAGCAACTGAGCAGCATTTCGACAGCCATAATCATTGTCAGTGGTTCTTGTCCAGCGGAACGGTGCAGACTAGTCAGAGAAGCAGCTGCAGCAACAACTAAAAGGGTCCAGTGGACCAGACTGCAGTTGTTGACTTGGTAAGTCACTAGTCATTACGCAGAACAGGTTTGCAGAAGACACTGCTGATGTCTTATCGAGACAGCAGATAGCATGAGATAGTGGTAGAAGCTCCTGCTGGGAAGCGTACCCTCATTGCGTTTGTATCTCCCACACGAGCAGCACTGGACTGCATTCAGCAAGTCATTTCCACCATCTGCGTTGCAGATGCATTGCATATTGTGCGTTCCAAGCAGGCAGGGTCAGCCAACATGCTCGATGAATGCTGCCAAATGAGAGTGAAGTTGTGGCACTCGCCTGCAATTACGTCGGGCGTGAGTCCAGCTCGACCTTTGCATCAGCGTGTCGCCTAACTACATAAGGGCTCATCCCATACATTCATTCCGGTAGCTTGCGTGATGCTTTGGACGGACACAACATCTCTTCCTGTCGACGCATCAGCCTGCTTCTTGCGCGATGTACAATCAGTAGCGTGTTACTTGCGCTATGACGGGCATGATGTATTTGCACTGCATTGTCCCGGGTCTTTTTCGGTCTGCTAGTGCGATACATTTGCGCTGACCCACTGCTTTGCCTGTACGTGCGAAGCTACAGAATCGTGCTCACAAGTCAAGACGTAGTCCACTTGTTCACGCACCTCCGAGCACCATCGACGACAGTGACAGAACAAGCCACACGAGCGCACGATCCATTGCCAGACCATACCTGCACCAGCACTTCTACCACTCGCATCAATCCATTTACGACCTGCCACAGCCGTTACCCCACTCGCCTGCCGCCCGCCCCCGCCTCCTTTATCCCCCATCTATCCGCCTCCCCTCCCCCCTCACGGTCCTACATGAGGTTGTCCGTCTCGTCCGGGACCTGCACCGTCATGCCCTCCATGGCCCGGGCCACCACGACCTGGCAGCCCAGCCGCGACGTGTCCGTGAGGCCCCACGCCAGGTCCAACATGTCCTCCTCCTCTTCGCTCATGGCCGGCAGCTCGTCAAAGATGCGCTTCTCCAGCACCACATGGCACGTCGAGCACGCGAGTTCGCCGCCGCACGCGCCCTCGAGCTCCACGTCGTGCGCGTGGGCCACGTCCAGTAGCGACTGGCCCTCCGGCGCCGTCACAGTCGTGCGCGCGCCTTCGCCGTCGACGAACGTGAACGTCACGTGGGCGAACGCGCGATGCAGCAGCGGCGCTGGCGCACTGCGGCGTGTGGGGCGCGCGGTCAGACGGCGCAGCGCGGGCCGGCGAGTCGCAAGGCGGCGCGCCGTTGAGAGCGCGAGCATGGACAAATTAATTGATTTAATTGTGCGAGAGGCTGTGCGATTGGAGTCGAGGCAATTAATTGGCCTGTGCTGCGGATGTTTGCTGTGGGTGGATCCTTTGGGTGATAGGGAACAGGAAGTGGTGCGGATGGAGGACGGAGGGGTACGAGTGTTCGTTCGTGCTTACACTTGGACGACTTGGGTTTGCCATGCAACAGCGCACTTATCCAGTCTTGCGCTTGGCGTACTTTGTGGCAGAGGTAACTTGCACGACGATCGCGACAGCAATCCCTGTTTGCAAAAGGACCACACGCTGAGCATCATAGACTGGTAGATGAACACGCACAAAGGGGTCTGCTGAATGTCATTGCCCTTACCGGACAAAAGCATAATGGGGTGGGGGTGGTCACTGCGCTCATTTGCTCCACTCGTCGTCTTTCGTCAACATACTAAACCGGTTCATGAAGCTGCGGCATGTCCATTCCATCATTCCTTCTCGTTCTCGAGTGACGTCTCGTTTCCTCAAGCAATCACGAGTGCTTGGGACGCAAGTAATATGGATGCGAGTCACAACGACCTGTTCCCGCATTGCTTTTCTCCGCCCATCGATAGGTGCACTGTGAGGCCGATTTAGTGTCAGCGTTGTCACACTTGACACTTCGTCATTAGTGCACCACACTTGTTCACATGCAGTCAATTATCGTTAAGCTTAGGCAGGTACCATGCTAGCCAAATGTCCGGACAGGGTGGCATTACGTGCGACCCGACGTAGGCTATGGTTTGCACCAACGACGCTGCGATGCTCGATGGTTGTCGCATATGTCGACGTCTTGACAGTCGCACGTGACGATGGCTCGAAAGTGGCTCGATTCAAACCTCCTCACCAAGTGGAACGAATTTACGTGAGGTAGCAATTGACTCGCAAGGGCGTAGCTGGTAGAGATGTGGAACTTGTACACTCAGTCACTTTGCTACGTTTGTGCTCGAGCGGCAGGTACCTGGAAAACTGGCGCAATGACTTTTCCATCCCTCGCGCAGATCCGATCAACTTTCGATGCCGTGGCCTCTTATGTCTGTCAGACAAGATGGGTGGTGTGCTACTTGGAGCATTCGCAAGAAAGCCCTTGTGCGACCATGTTGCACGTACAAGTTGTGCAGGCAGCTGGCAGGAGACAATGACTGCGTTTGCAGGACGATCAGCAGCTGGACTCTACCTTTAGATCACGACTGTAGCCGTGATCAGCACGCTCAACGAGGACGACCAACAGACCAACTACCCGCGACTTTTTTCGCTACAGCAACGTCGCATATTGTGTAAGTCAGCATGGGAAGAGGTAACTTGTCGAGGCGATTGGCGGACTCTACGTACGTGACCGCCTGCAATTGTTGCACTTCTCACACGACCATTCGCAGCACCAACTCGAATCGCGGAGTTTGCATTGACAAGTCGAAGATTGATTCGCTATAACCATTCGGCACACCAAACATGCTGAGAACGTCGTGTGAAATGCCGGCCCTTGTATTGCACTGCACTAAACGTTTGCTTTACAGCAGAGGTCAAACACGACTGCATGCATGCTCATCGTATATAACCACAACGAGGTGCTTCGCATCCACGTGCAGCTTTGTTTGGTGGTGCATGTCAGACAGTCTTGCCGCCATTTTCTTCTGGTTTCGTAAAGCTTGCCAGAGCAGGAGCATGAAGTAGGAGCGATGGCGGCAAACTCTGCATGTCCGATGCTGGATCAAAGCGGTCCGTGTCGTACATGGTCAACCACTCCTTGAGCGCATAGCGCAGCGTTGCAATCTCTCCATACTGCGTCACAATGCCGCGTTCGTGACACGCAAACTCGAGCTCGTCCAGCGTCAGGTCGTCAACGCCTTCTTTCAGCAGCTGCTGGTCATCCACACTAATCTCCATCGTCTTCCGCGCCAGTCTCTTTTCCAGCTGTGACTGCATCAGTAGCTTGTTCAGCACGGCAAAAGTCGGGAAGCGCGCCGTGCCTTTCGACAGCACGTGAATGTGCTGGCTGGACAGCTGCTGGAGCGACGCAGGGCCTTGGAAAAAAGGCATTAGCTCGGCCACTTGCGTCGGTCGTAGCCCACCACTCGTTTCGGACTTGGCCAGTGCCAGCAGTTCCTGCAGCGTGTCGTCCTTGTGCTGAATCTGTAGCAGTAGCTGGATCAACTCAGGGTACGTCGTGGCCCTGGCCTCGACCTCTTCACGCATAAACTGCGTCTTCTGGTCCGGGCGCCAAAACTGCCGCGGCAGGAGCTGCTTTGGAAACTGGTAGCCGAGCAACGGGGCCGCGTACCCCACGAGGGGTACGCCAAAGAAGACCAGCAGCGGCAGCGACTTGAGCAGATCGCGAGGCGCTTGCCGCAACAGTATCATCTCACGCCGTGTGAGCAACAGTTGACCCTTGGACTCCTGCAGACGCCGACGGAGCGCCCACGCCTGTTTGTTTTCGTGGTACAGTCCCTTAAAGCCGGTGACAAACGGCTGTATCCACTTTTGCAGCTTCTGGTACGGCGTGAGGTCCTTTGACGGTGAGCTGAAGCTGCGCGCAAACGAGACAGAGAGCAGAGGGGCTCGAGCGTCAATCAAGCGGCCGCATATGGCTACACGGCGGCCACTGGCGCGTCGCAGCGAAGAAGAAGACAGCAGCTGCATGAGGATGAGCAGAGGGGGACGCGGACAAGTCGCGCGTGCTACTGTGACCGACTGCAGAAGTGCGGTATGGCTGAATCTGATCACCACTTCGACAAACGAAAATGCATTTGCTCTCAGTATGCGATGGTGGACCAATAGGAGATTGCCATTTGATTATAGCCAATCCATGATCCTTCAGATAGTAGTTTCAGCGAATCAACCCATTCGGGGTAGGGCAGATTCATTCCGACATCATTCCGACATACTTTGTCGGAATGAAGCCAAAAAGATGGATGAGCTCCATACAAATGCCTAGTGAAACGCATACGATGTTGCATATTGTAAAAGATGCCGACAAATATGGCAGCTTCGTGATTAGTTACCTGTTTAACTCAATTTTATAAGATTGTAGCCCTACGCCACTGCAGAGGAATCTCCACGATAACATAATCACTGAGGATAATGTTGAAGTATGTCTGCGCAGTATACAAAGGCTGAGTCATTAGCTGCATTGAACTGAACTTAAACATTGGAGTACGCTAGCACACTTCAATAACCAGACAGCACAGGAACATGAGCATTCAGTCGTTGGTGCCAGCCAGCACAAAGTCGGCCATGTCTACGGCAGTGAACAACTTTGAGAAATTCCTCGCGTCGGAGTCCCCCACAGTCGAACAGCTGAACGCATCCATCCTCAGTGATCTATTCGATGCGTGCTTCGTTGCAGTTATGGAGAAGTTTGCAATGCACCTTGCCTACCTCAAGGGCAGAAATAGAGAATGAAGCATGAAATTCTAGGATCTTCTATTTCAGTAAAGTTACGAAGTGGCTGCTAGAACAATTTGTTTCACAAAGATCAATCGTGTACGACAAACTACTCGAGATGGCGCGCACCCTGGAGTGGCCATGCATGACAAGAGTGAGAGGATCCATTAATAAAGCTGCAGCATATGCAAACTAGTGAGATTCTATTACTTATGTAACACATCGACATGACTACTACGATATCAAAGGACTACCAGGACGCTACACTTGTGTGCCTAATGTGCCAAGCCTTCGGTCGGGCGTCTGAAATGTCGCTTGTCCGCAAGCGAGATCTGTCCGTTAGAGTCAACAACGTTGAGCATGTGCAGCAACCTCAATGAAAAAGCTTTACACAGAAAATTGTGACGTCCAAGGCGTTGCTTGCCTCTAGAGCTATTTCAGAACCCATCTCCATTGAATCACAAGACATATTGCAAGTAGAAGACATCGAAAGTACATTCCGTCACAACTTATCTACCTGGGTAAGGATGACCAGGCTGCTGTCTATGTTAAGTGCATCAAATAGCAACGTCAGCATTTTATCTAGTTTGTATGCTTCTATAATCAAAAGATGATAGGCAAAAATTATTACAGAGACATTGTCTTTTCAAACTAGCTTCCTTCCATCTCTTCATGAAAGTCACTAATCGCACAAGAGCGGAAGATACACAAGGCGATAGTGTCAACAGCATCAGCGTCAACAGTATCTACAGCATCAGCATCAACAGCATCAACAGCATCAGCATCAACAGCAACAACTGCATCTGCAACAGCAACAACAGCATCAACAGCTTCATCAACAACAACGTCGGCAAGAATAACGTCAGACTGCACAAGCGATAGAAAAACAAAGCAACAATAACATCGGACTGCCAATGATATAGAGAAGAGAACAGCAACAATAACGTCAGACTGCACCTGCCAACACTTCGACTATGCTTCATTCACGTAATGCACGGCCTCCTGGGTTATCTTCGTCGCTGAGTGTCAATTAGCAGACGTTACGATATTGACGCATGGTGGAATTACCTACGGAATGAATTGCCCCACACGTACATATCTGATAGTTAGTCTTGTACGTAAGAAATAACGCATCAGACCGTTTGACTTACCCTTCAGTCGCACCTCGTTATCCCAGACCGCCAATAGATACTACAGGAAGAGCTGTGTCTTGTACAGTATCACGTTTCTTCCTGTAGCACCGTTCAGCGAGGATTGAGCTTCACTTGTTCTGGGCGCACAACCTGTTGTGACTGTCAACACAAACCAAAGCCAAATACAGTAAATAGGCATGTAGCGTTCATTTAATAGCTCCCCTAATTGTAATCCATCCGTATTAAAAAGACATTCTTTATTTGTCGGAATATTTGTCGGAATAAAAAAAGTGTCGGCACTTTCATGGTATGGCTACTTGACGACGGTATCGACCGACGCGGGTACCGGTTTTGATCCCTCGGATCCTCAGTCGTAGAAAAGGGAGAGCTAACCACTTGTTGCGAAGATGGATAGACCGGACGTCGAGATGGCGGACGTCGAGCAGGTGCATCCACTCCAGACGCGGTTCGAGGACGCAGAGGATCTGGTCGCAGCGTTGCCATTGAACGGATCGTCGTCTGACGAGGCGATTCGAGCGTTCCAGGCCATTATTGCTTACGGTACGCCCGCCCCGTTCGTGGGTCGCTCGTGTGGCGATGGATTTTATCTGGATAAAATCTGGCGTCGACGATCGAGTACTGACCGCACCGGTTTGTGGCATGGGGTCTGTGTCTATGTCAGCCGAAGAAGACGCCGCGCTGGAGCACGTGCAGCGTGTGCAGGAGCACGCGATCTACAAACTGGCGCAGCTGTACATCCAGTTTGGCCGCGAAAAAGAGCTGGCTACGCTGCTGCAGTCGCTGCGGCCTCTCTTTGCCACGTTGGCCCGCGCCAAGACGGGCAAGATTGGTACGGCCAGCTGGTGGATGACGAGGAGAGTGCTGTGTGGCGATCTACCGACTGACAGAGCGGGCGGTTGTGATGTGTGAATGCAGTGCGCACAGTGATTGACATGGTGGCCAAAGTGAAGGTGCTGGACGCGGAGAAGGCGCTGCAGCTACAGGCTGACCTGTGTCTCGACTCGATCGAATGGTGCAATCGCGAGAAGCACACGTTCCTGCGTCAGCGCGTCGAGGCGCGTCTGGCCTCTATCTACTTTCAGCAGAACAAATTCCAGCCGGCGTTGGATCTCATTACCGAGCTGCTCCGCGAGATCAAGAAGCTGGACGACAAGCAGTTGCTGGTAGAAATCCACCTCGTGGAGAGCAAGCTGCATCACGCGCTGCGCAATGTACCCAAGGCCAAAGCAGCGCTGACTGCGGCGCGTAGTATTTCCAACACGATCTACGTCGTGCCGCGCACCCAGGCGCAGATTGACCAGATGTCGGGCATCCTCCACGCGGAAGAAAGCGACTACAAGACAGCTTACTCGTACTTTTTCGAGGCTTTCGAAGCACTGGCGACTTTAGATGAGGTAGAGGGGTTGAAGTGCCTCAAGTACATGCTGCTCGCGAAGATTGCTAGCGGCGGTGCGAGCGAGGTGACTCTCATCATGAACAGTAAGCAGGCAATGAAGTATGTCGGCATCGATTTGGAGGCGATGCAGGCGGTCGGCAAGGCGCACGAACAGCGCTCCCTGGAGCAGTTTGAAGCTGCGACGAAGAAATACGCACTTCGTACGTTGGTCCAAATCCACTCGTAGTGCTACTTGAGGCTAAGCGCTAATTTTGTGGTGTTGCTGATGCCAGAGCTTGCGGATGATGCACTGATCAAGAACCACCTGGGCAAGCTGTACGAGCAGCTTCTCGAGAGCAACCTGATCAAGATCATCCAGCCTTTCTCCTGCGTCGAGATTGCACACGTTGCCAAGTTGATCAAGCTGCCACTGTTACAGATCGAGTTAAAGTAAGCACTGGTTGCGGGCTGTCGTTGCTGCTGTACGCAGTGTTGTTGACCTATCGTGCGAATGTGTACTTTCGCAGGTTATCGCAAATGATCCTGGACCACAAATTCCACGGCATTTTGGACCAGGGCAAAGGGCAGTTGATCGTCTACGACAGTCCCATTGACGATGTAAGCTGCCGCTATCTTTATTTTTGCCGGCGTTGCGTGTATGAGAAGTACGATGTGGCCTTACGTGTTGTTCTGCGATGTGTAGAAAACATATGCCTCCGGTCTGGGTGTCATTGAGAACGTCGGGCACATCGTAGACAACCTTTTCCGACGTGCCGACAAGCTGCACGCGTAGGTACAGAGCGAGCGATGCACTCGCAGAAGGTTTGGGCCACCTGCCGGTCGTGGCCAGACTTTCCAGGACTTGAAGTAAACGGACGCAGACCTGGGAACGCGTGAGCAGTACCAATGGCTTTACATCGTTCAAGGAAGGGTGGCATACGTTTTCTTGTGTCTTGTGGATGCATGATGCTCAGTCGTGTCGGTAGGAGTGGACATAGCCGACTTGTGTAGGGCAGCATGTCCTTGATGCGCTTCTTGTCGCACATCGTACGGTCGAGCTCCTACGACTGCATGATATCCTTATCACATTCGGACGTCAAAAGGTTGTTGTTTTGTTTACGGGGCTCATAGCAAGCAAGGAAAAAAGCTTCTTGACGACCCATGTCGATTCTTCTTGCGTCGCGTACTGGTCACCGCTCTAAGTTCGTGCAAAACGTACGTTCAATGGCTGATCGCCATGCGGGAGTTCAGGATCGATCGCCGGTCGTACAAATGTGCATCTCCGTTCAAGAACTAGCATGGACGATTTTGACTAAACGTTTTCCGAACAATTTTTACAACTTTCGGAGACGATCTGTGACGGTCAGATTACTCATTTATTCGACAAATACTGATCAGACACCAGAATTACCCGGTCACGAAGCGCGTCAAGACAAACTATAGTTTGGGGTTTGAAAGTGATCACTAACAAGGGAACGTATCAGCCATTGCTAGTTGTGGACGGTCGTTGCTGTTGCACGCAGCGGTTTGACCGGCACGAAGCTACAGCTCTCGAAAGGAACACATCAAACTGCAGGCGGTCAGTCGTCTACTTGAAAAAGGAGACAACTGCGCTTGTACTGACACAGTAATCGCTGAGCTACACCGACAACATTGCAGGCAGGTGTCGTGACATTTACAGTAATATGCGCGGGGGAAGAAAGAACGCTACCGGATACGTCAGCCTGAGGCAAAATGCGAAGTGTGTATAACATAGTTCAGCTTGTCAATACAATCTGTTTCAGCCTTCTTTGCTTACATCTCAATACAAACATGGGCTGTAACTTTTTTGCTCGCCATCCTCGCGCGCACATAGCATAACATGTACGTTCCTAAATTGATATGATGGTCTGTGTCAACCAATAAGCAAAAGCCACCTGCAAATGTTGCGCTTTTACGTAATATCACGAGTGTATCCTACTAAGATGACAGTCGCTTTGACATCGGTTCATGTCAATATCATGCAACAGGCTCCCTTGACTCACAGCTCCTAACGCATATCACTTTATCATGGCAAGCGCTGCAGGCTTACGTAATTACCCAGCACTGTGATTCGAGATAGATAGCTACGTATTTATACAAACGCCGCAGCACTCTCCCGGCTCAACGCAGGTGACGCTGAGAATCCCCCCTTCAGCGCAGACATCATCAATCCTCGAGATCTCATCGGCAGGGCCACCGCGATAAGTCCCCGGGCCGAGGCAGTATCGCGCTCCGGATTTTAGGGCAACGCAAGCTTGCAATTCGCAAGTTCGACGGTACCGTAATGTAATTTGGGCTGGGATTAGCATTTTTCGACTGGAGGTAGACCTTTTGGTGTCAAGTTGACATGGCTCAAGATTCGTGCGGGCTTCTGTGGAGCGAAAATATCGAGACTGACGCGCTCGTAAGTATACCCTTGGGACCTCCTAACTTTGCTTCAACAGGCAGGTTGACTCGTGGTGGGCTGTGCTGCCGACGATGCAGTACGTGATGCAGTACGTGATGCAATGCGTGCTAGACACGCTCAGACAACGATCACAGCAGCACAAGCTATAGTGATCTTCACGAATTACAAAGAGATCAAGGGCTCGCGACGGGAGCACCTTTACCGAGTGGCTGTCAGTGACGCCGCAGATGACGTCGAGCTGCAAGTACTGGACAACATTGTCAGGTATGCGTCACTCAAGTATTCGAAGATACTCATAGCAAAGTATGATTCGCACCTTTGTTACTACCTTGTGCACGCGGACGAGCTAGTTCACTTTTCATAAGCCATCAAGATGAAAGCTCGATCAGGACGTTTTTTCGAAAAAGATATTGTGGTGCACGCGGACAAGTCCACGACGCGCACTTGCTACGGAAGCGGCAAGGTGGGGCACGTCAAGGCTGAATATCGCAATAAAAGAACTAGTGATACGAATGACGTTCGTGAGGCAAGCGTGATGGCAACATGATGCTTTCCTCTGGAAAAGGCAAAGTAGGCAAGGACTTGCGTGCCGTCAAGAACGACCTGGCGATGGCGATAGGCGACGATGGAGACACTAGAGATGACGACCGGTCCGTCGATGATGGTTCTAGTCGCTACCTTGTCAATGATCTTACACTGATGCGGGACGCACAAGATTTTATAAAAAAGAGAGTCTCATTGCTGACGGGAAAACGATAAGGCTTTAGCGGGTCGGCAACGTACTACTTACAGTGCTTGCAAAGGACAGAAGAAAACTGCGACGTTTTCAGAGGTTTTCCTTATCCCGATCTAGCGCGCTGCGTCATATCATACTACAAGATCTTGCGCAAGGGTTTTGGCCTTATTTATGGTGGTGCGACGCGCGTTCTGGCGAGACGCACAGACGGCGAAGTCGCGTTTGATGTGTCGATGAAGTTCGAGGTGCTATTATTGATAAGAGTGGAACCAGCACGTGATACACGCAAGCCAATCGATAGGCTGACATCGATTTAGGTTTGAGAACATTCGCCGAAGAGACTGGTTATGCTACATATACGGGCTCCTTTCTACGTTTCCACCTGAGACTTGTACACCTCACTTTCGACAACATCAAAAATGTGTCCAAATACCCAGCGTCCGATATCAAGCTCACGAATACCAAGCGCCCGACATGTATCTTTTCTCGCATGAAAAGAATACGAAGCATGTTCAGACGCAGAGAACACTGATAAAAATACGCCTATCAACATAATCGGTGGATTGATTTGCTCAGAGTGTGAGGTCCCGATTACCCGAAGGATCAGCTCAGGGATTGTAATATTGTGAACTTCGTAGATCGCAAATCGAACTACAGTCGCGCCTTTCTGACGTTTACTGAGGACTAAGCTGCGTATAATTTTAAGACTTCTGGATATCTCGAGCGCCGGTTCAACTGCCGTTTCCACGCGATTCGCACATACGGGGGGGGGTGCGTACGCCAATGTTCACCCATTTTGCAAGTCTACAGGTATTGCGCGGTATAACAGCGAGGAGAGAATTCAGGCGTCAAACGGCAAGGAGGAGCGCATGCATAGGACGGTGCTGAATATGGCGTGATGCATGCTTTCCGCCAGTCGTCTTCGGTGTCGTTTTAGGGTGACGCTGTCGAGTATGATGCATATATACTTAGCCGGGGCTCAACAAATGCACACGCAAAGCGTGCATCACCGATGGAATTACTGGTTAAGCACGCGCCCGACCTGCTCTATATCGTCGCTTTCGGATCGGTCTGCTCGATTTATGAAGACCCTGGCAAGAATTCGCCAGCTCAATGAGTGCAGTTTGGCGTCATTATTGGTCGCATTGTTAAGTATGAGGGTTAAGAATGATCATATAGAAGGTGAACAAGGTCACGGTCACATAGCACATACGAAATATCGAATGTCAAATCCCTCAGCGTGGAGCAGAATGATCAGCTTCAACGCGCACTCGAGGTTGGAGATCAGGCGACGGTGATTGACGCACCCAGTGCAGACAATACTACGCCTAGTTCAATTCCTGTAGCAAACGTTGCTGCAGAAGACAAGGTGTCAGCACGAAGATGACGTGTTGAAAATAAGAAGGCGAAGTCTTGGACGTGTGTGGCTTATAGGAAGTACAGTGCGACAAAGCGCAAGCAAGGATCAGGCGATCGGGTGGAGACAGCTCATACAAAAGGTGTGCAACACGAAAGTGTGTTAGCGCATATGCACGAGAGCGACCCCAAAAGCTATGGGGAAGCGACGCGCAGCGCAGAGAGGAAGAAAGGTCTAGAATAAAACAATGCAAGGGGAGATACAAGCTCTCCACGAAAACTTCGTATGGAGCCTAATCAAGCGACCTGAAGAAAGCAACGGGTCGCGCTAAAAGTGGGTCTACATGAGATAGAACAATACTAGCGGTCTCCTCGAGCGTCTGAAGACAAGAATGTGGCATGCGGCAACAAATAGTTCTTCCGGGTCGACATCCCAAATTCGCCTTCGCGGCCGTAGCGAATATGTCTACCGTGAAGGTGGTCTTGGCTCTTGCGGCAATATGGGGCGCGCTGGCGAATTCCGGAGACATCTCCGACGCCTGAATTCAGGTTTAAAAAAGCGTATTTATCGATTTACCTGCATTCTCCAGTCGATGGATGTCATCGAGGACGCTCTAGAGCTGCACATAAGCTTGTAATGCCTCAAGCTGGTCGGAAGACTTTCAATATTATTTTTGGACGCTCGATTGCTGACGCTGGATTTATCCAGTGTGTGTCAGACATCTGCCTTTACTATAAGGTCGATGACGGTCAGCTAATACTCAAGGGGGGGGTGCACGTGGACGATCTGCTGGTCACCGGAACTGACACAGCTGCTGTCGGCCTCATCTTTACACAGCTTTAAGTTATATGCATGTACATCCTTGGCGTCCTCAGCAATTGTTCATAATGCGCATTTTATGAAGAGAGAAAGCATGGTTAATGACTGCTATATTAAAAGCGCGTCACATGCCCCCCCCCCTCGCCGGGGACCTCGCCAGTGGTTTTACCAATATGGAAGTTAGATATTGCTTTATCCTGCGCTAAACGACTAAGAACCTTCTATAACATAGCATAACCACCACAAATAACCCACTATAACTACCAAACCTGGCATCTGGGGCGTCGACCCGGAAAGAAGTGTCCGCTATGACACACAGCTCCACTTCCAACAGCGTTGCTATCGACGTCGACAGCAGCTACGTTCTGAACCAGTCGGAATCCATTGGAGATCTGCTACGCGGGCGTGGACTTAACAGCACCAACTCGACATGATCCTCGATTGGGGTATATGATTATGTAGTGCAGCCATGAGATGCGTGCTTTTGAGTGCGGGAAGAGACGGCGGGATCCGGTTATTCGAAAGCTCTAAATAATTGTCAGGAGTCTACAATGTGTAGGGTGCTGCACGCGCCCGGACATTATGGTCGCCGTGCAGTACGCAACGCGCCAGCCCATTAGACACGACTGCACGGTGTCAAGATCTCGAAGCGGATCGCGGGTTTACTAAAAGGTACTCGCGAAAGTAATCTGCGCATGGAGCCGAAGATGGTCTACGATGGCGAGCTGTAGCTTGAGTACTTTTCGAACGCCGACTTCGCCGCTGACAATTTGAAGGAACGACTTTTGACTGAAGGCACCATCTGGGTGGACGGGATCACGTTGGGTGGACGGCGAGAAGCAGGGTGGGGAATGTTTTCCACGATAGAGGCGGAGTTTGTCGTCACTTCAGAGCAGGCGAACGAGCTGCTCGGCATCAGGGAGATGCTATGTGAAATCGAGAATCCGCCTGCGCTCTTGGTGGCACTACACTTAGATACAAAAGCAGCGTTGAAAGCGATTGTTGGGCAAGACATCGTCGCCAAAGGCGAATTTCATGAACGTACGTCTTAAAATCTTCTGCGAATACTCCCGTTTTGGTGTAGTCGCGGTGCATTACGTGCGCTCAAAGCTGCAATTAGAGGATCTGTTATCAAAAGCCTTTATTCTGCAAACCTTGCTAGCTTGTGAAATTTACTGCGACTTAAGTGACTGCAATGAGTCATTGTCAAAGAGGGTTGTTAAAACATAGTGTCGTCACAAGTACGAGTGAGCGTGAGGCGCGCCGAATGTCGATGGAAAGGCGGCCGCTTACTTTGTGTTCGCATTGCGATAACATTGTGTGACACGATATGCGGTATTTGCAAATCAAACATTTACGAGCATCAATCTTGAGGTTTGACGGAAGGAAGAATCCTGCTAGCAAAGGGATTTATCGCATCATCATTCGCTTCTTAATCAATATGAAAACACGCAATGCAATAATGATTCTCTCTTGCCATATCGCCGAGACGCTTTGCGTGGATCCCCGTCATTATGCTTTTCACCCATACATTTGCCTCATGGAACGAACTTGGATCTTCAAGCATCCCCGGCAAGCTACACGCGTCTGTTGGTCTATATTCGACGACTATGATATTTGTCCACTGCAATTATCCACCGACTCCAATATTTGCCAACTGTATTATTTGCCGAGACAAATACGCCGGTTGTAACATTCGGTATCTCATTATGTACGCGTTCCATACACCACGTCTGATACTAGACTGAACAGTTGGGTCTAGACAGGGCGATTCGGAAGATGAAAATGGGGTAAGACAATATGTATAATTTGTTCTGCACCAAATTGAAGAGGTAACAAAGACAGAGTCTCCTTATCGGGAATTGCAACTCCTTCTTATGTATGCTGAAATACTATCCAAGACTGAAAACCTGGGCTCATGGGAACTAATCAGATCTAGATCGATAGCTGATTGGCGGTCAAGATCTCAATTACCAATAACTCACCGGATAAGAATACGATGCGCTCTACCCGCTGAATGGTTTTAGCCCTGTCTACTTATACGCATGGCGTATGATGATATCGTACCTCACTTATGTACATTTCAGGACCATTTTACAAAAGTATTGGTGAACATACTAGCATGTGTTTTCTCATCAATGGGCGTACAAAAGATTCAGATTAGGAGAATGCTTTCCGCTGATAGTAAGCGCGCGAGTTGCGCTTTACCAGATTCGAGTAAAGAATATCATAGATAGCTCTGAATGTCGTGCCGTGGCATTATACACTCTTATGACCCGCCCATACCGTTTTTATACGGCTTTGTAGCATATATGTCGCGAAATTTGAGCCATATGACTTAGAAGTACAAGCACCGCCAATTGTGCATGCCATATTCCACCTCGATATCCCATCGTCTTCGATGCAATGAGCTCCGATGGAAGTTGTCAAGCTCACAAAAAATATGCAAAGGTCGTATCTTTTTCGAATACCTTTACTTAAGCCTCGGCATTTAAGCTTTGGCAGCTGCTTTTCTTTCCTTACATCTCTGTGGCCCCACACCCAAGTAAGAATGAAGGTCTACGGTAAGCGCGATTTACAGGTCGCCGACGCAGTGTACGCCGACTATGAGATGTACGATGACCTCGCCTGAGGCTCACCGGCTCGTGGTGTAGAATGTCAAGAATCAGCTTGATAATTTCACACGAATCATGCCATATCGAACTTATTATCTCAATAGCTACGACACGCTGCGCCGATAAAGCAATACTATTCTTTATTCAGCCGCGTCAATGTGATGCTGAACGAGCTTGACAATCGCAACAGTTTACTTATCCTCTTGTAGGGCAAACAACATGGTGCTTACGGCCGAGCCACCATCGGTCAAAATCGATTATACGACCGCAGCTTACTCGAAGTTGCTAAATAAGAGAAGCCTCCTCGATCGACGTGAAGCGATCCTTGCCCTCTACTTACATGGTGGATGATGCCGTGATCATTAGTCGGTCTACTATAGTACTATTACGTGTATAGAATGGTCATCGTATACATTAAGGATAGGGAGCCAACGCTAGGAAGCTATCTACACTGGTAACAGTGTCGACATGTGCCACAGAATCTGACGTACACTGTAGAATGTGGAGGAGGTGTGATTAACAAAGGGGTTACGCTTGATTGAAAAACGAAACGAAAACTGTAATATCATTGACATGTCACCAAATAAGCTAACGTTCTTCCCTTTGCTCGGACCATATGACAGGCCGCGAGAATGACTCCAGTTGCAGATAGCTTGGAGCATTTGCCGATCAGATACATTTCGTGGACACATCTAAGGGCGCGTGTATTCTTTTGCGCTTTATTCACTGCGTGGACAAGCCAAATTACGAATTGTACCCACATGCACATCCATGCACAACATTGTATGGCCGTAGCATCTTCAGAGCTGTCGTTAGCAGTTACTATCCAAATCTGCCGAGCGTTCGAAGACGATGCCACAAATTGCAAACACATTTGACGAGAATGTGGTGGATACTACGCCCGGTCTATATTGCAACCTTGTGAAACCAACGTACTCGATTCGTGTCGAGCCAAGGAGACTTGAGCACACAGTAGAGCGTACGGGTTCGTGCAAAGAGACCTCACGCATCTTAGGGCACTAGCTGCAAGAAGACAAAGACGGCTTCGCTCATAAGTAAGTAAAGGATCGCGCCTACCGTTACCTACTGTACAAGGCTTCTCGTTCAGTCACTCGACAGACAGGGCACCACACGAAGTGGTAAGCCACGCTCAACAATCGGATCGACTTTAGCCACTGGCGTTGCTTACCCGGCTTTGGAAATTGGAGGCATCTTGCAAACCACAATAACGCTCGATAGACTGTCTCTTCCTTTCTCTTTCCCTGCTATAACCATATGAAATGACAAACATAGATGTTGACAACTTGGTCATCCATTGCGCGCGTCTGGTATCAGTTGGTGGTTCCATCAACTGAGATCATTGTCCATATCAGCCAATGAGTCGTGGGTCATCAACTACGAAGAACATGATACGCAACGATGATATCCATCTTGACATTCTCTACACGTAGATGGCATGCTTATCGGGTCACCCCGCAACACAACGCACACTGACATGGCCAGTAAAATGCGTTGCACGAGTAGCATTGATATCAAGCGCTGTTTCTTATTCTTCCAAAGAGCGATGAAAAGGACGCAACACTTCAACTACCTATCGAGCACTTCAACTTTCTTACACGTTGCTGCTGGGTAAAACCAAAACGACCGTCACGTGTCACAACTCTATTCCATCGAACCCTCGTGACATGCAGTCCATCTGTTCTTTTACAATAGCAGTTCTCTTTTTTCGTCGTACGTACTGCGTGTTCACCACGACATGTCCCATCGCATGACCATCAACTGCCTCCGCCTCCACTAAAGAAAAGCGAAGCTTTCCACCTCTAACTGCCCGTTGTTTTTTTAGATGCACGCGTGAGGTCCTTTTCTCTCATTGGTAGAAAAGCAGACTGCAAGTCCGCAGTCGCTCGTCACATGTTGCGGGATGTGCAGCAGCGCGACGCCGCGTCCCTCGCGCCGGTCGACGGCGACGGCCACGAGCGCATTGTGCTCACGCCCACTCCGTCCCACGACACTGGCGATCAAGGCTACGACCTCGTGTCGATGTCGTCCGTCCCGTCACGCGCGCTGCCCCGTCCGAAGACCCGCAGTCGCGTCCACACTCTCACTGCAACAAAAGCGCTTTTTGCCGCGTGTCTCGTCCTGGCCGCCAGTGTGCGCGCGACGGTCGTGTCGCTGCTCTATTTGTTCGCGTTTTGCTGCAGCATTGCGCAATGGTCGTTCGAGTCTCGAGCGCTTGCGTTGCTGACTCTGTTTGTAGCGCTTGTGGCGTGTGTCGGTCACGGCGCGATCCAAAGCATTGACGGGCGTCGACACAGTGGCGATGCTGCAAGTGTAGCTGCAGTACTTGGCTTCTCGTCGACGCACAGGACTGTGCTCGAGTACTTGCAGGCAATTGGGGTCGACGGGCTCGTGCTGGTGAGCAGTTGTGTGCACTATTGGAGTGTAAGACGCGCACGACGCAAGCGGCTGTCGATGGAAAAGCAGAAGCAAGACACGAGTCAACAGCACTTGGATCTATTTGAAATGGGTGTGCAGTTCGTAACTGCTGGTGAACCCGAGCGGAATCGGAGCTGCTCGACGCTCCGAGTGGTAGAGCTCTTGACGGCGCTGCTGCTTTTTCTCACATCTGTGTCGGTGCCGGCGTTTGCCTCGGGAGTGCTCTATCTCGTGCTGGTCGGGCGCTTGATTGTGTACACAGTATGTGTACGGAAGGTGACCGTGCAGGAGCTTGTCGCTCGCGAATCGAGTGCTTCGTTTACAAGCTGTTTCTTGGGCCCAGTAGTCACGAACGTACTGCTGGGGTGTTGCCTCGTTATCGTGCTTTCGTGGTACGCATTGCGTCACTGATAGACTGTTGGAACGGCGTAGTGCTGATGTAGTCGACTGTTTTCTTTCAACCTGTTGTTGTGTGTGTCTTAGGTATGTGTTTCATTTGGATCCGTTGACAAACGATGTGACTGCGCGGACAGTTGCTAAGTATGCTGGTTTTGCCAACTTCCGTGACCGCGGCGTGCAGTGGCAGTACTTCCTCTTCGCGGGGTTCCTGTTCTTGCTCTTTGTCAGCTGTGCCAAGTTGCGTTCCTTGCATCATGCAGCAGCGATCCAGGATAAAGCTGGTTGTGCTAGAAGCCGCGCGTCTGGGTATTGGAACAACGATACTATGGCAGCTGACTTTGGATCCGTTAACAGTAGCGCTGCGCAAGCACTGCTTAGTCGACGCCGGACGGAGAGTGACGACATCCAGAAACTTCTGAGCAAGCAGTCGATTGTTGTGCGTGCTTTTGCCCGCGACGGGGGTCTTTTGCTGGGCAGCGCAGCGGCAATCGTCTGGTGTGTATCGTATCCGTCATACTTGTCAGCTCCATTGTTAGGACTGGCGTTTGTGACGATTGCGGTGTTCGGCCTGCTGTCGTCATCGATCTTCATGTGGCTGTTTATCGCATATGGAACACTAGTGGTGCTGGCGGAGTACACGAGCAATCTCACGATTAACTTTGTGCCGGGTGACTTGTCGGCGTACGGCTTGCGAGTGTTTGACTACCCGATTTTGCATATCGGCGCGCATACGCTTTGTGCCGTATTCATGTTCTTGTCCATCCGAACACAGTGGCATTATCGAGACGTTCTCCGTGAGTCTCGAAAACGTCGCAACAGGACGAAAAGAGCCGACGTTGACAATGACGTCGATAATGGCGACGAGGTGGTTCAGGACAGAGCGAGTTATGCAAACTTTGTGCGTCTGGCCAAATTACGCCGGGTAAGATCGATATGGAGGTCTTGTCGCAAACAACATTCAGTAACGCTCTCGTTTTTCCGTGATTCTAGCAACTCCAACAAGGGTGGCGTCCTGCTGTACACGTGTGGATACTGGATGCGAGGCAATTTGTCGTTTTGCATTTGGACGTGCTAGTTCTTGCTACGATTTTGAGTATGTTTTATATTTGCAGATTGGTTTTTGGTATGTTAACTGATTGACGTTGCAACTTGTCGTATTTGTAGTCGTGACACTGAGTACTGATGTATCATTTCTTCAAGTGGGATACCTGGTGCTTGCTGCGCTGCTCATGCTGTTTTTCAAACAGCGACGGCGCTTCTGGCGTGTGCTACTGCTGTATGCGCTTGGAGCATGCTTTGCGGTGTTTATTTGGAACGTCGAGTGCACGGGGAATTCTGGGCTGGAGCTTTTTGGTTTACAATGCTACTGCCCTGATATGCGCACATGGAGATCATTGTGGCCGACGTTATTTAGCGCTCAGCTTTTGATCATCTTTCAGTTGGTGTTCCAGCTTGTGATTTACGTGACGAACAGTGAAGCAATTGAGGAACACGTGGAAACCAAAGAGCATGTTCGACAGAAGCCCGTGTTTTTTGTATCTCGCTTGGCCGTCGAAATCGACAATTGCTTTCGTATTTGTGGAGTACTGTTTTGCTACGCAGGTTTCATTGTCGTGGCTGTTCAGTTCGAAACTGGACCAACCACTTTGAGCACCACGGTGATCGGAGGCGTGCAATTGGTGTTGTTCATTGTCACATTTGGCTATCAATTGGTGACTTTTGCGCCAAGAACGTCCATGGTGCTGAAGCTGTTGTGGTCGTTAGCACTGCTGATTGAAGTCACGATTTTGGTGGTGCGATACATCTACCAATTTGAACAGGTGTCAAGCTACATGGAATTGCACTTGTTCACTCCGTCTTTCGTTTCAGCTCAAGACTTCGGACTTGAGTACCATGCGTCTACTGGCGGAATCTCAGACGTGTTTGTGTACCTGCTGCCCACATCAGTCCTAACGGGGCTCTGTTTTTGGCAGCTTTCGTCCATGAGGAAGGATATTATGCCATATGATTTCTTCAGTGCCGACCGAAGTCGCGCGGCGCATTGGATTTGCGTTTGTATGGAAACTGCCCGGTATCTGTTGATATCGTTTAGTGCAATCGCGCTAGTGATTGTGACGATGTGGGTTGCTCTCGACCAGATCGGCTTCGACGGTTGGCTGTACGTCCTCACACTTATAGGCGGTCGTGCCTTGTCTGGAGCGTGGACGCCGTTGTGGCTCCCCCTTTTCTGGCTTGCAGCGCTATCGATGCTCTTGAAGTACGTCATTCAGGTCAGTGTTTTCAGCATAGCGCAATCAGGCACAGGGAATAGCAACGTGCTGCCTGGATCTGGTGAAAACAGCGACTGGGTTGGAATGATCCGCCTAAACGATCGCTATGGAGGCAACGTAGGAAAGTCTGCGCTGTGGGATTTGCTATCTGGGGACTTCTTGATTATTTTCATGTGCTTACTACAGCGTATGGCGCAGTACGTCGACTCGTCGTCGTCGATACGTCATATATTCGAATTGGGTGAGTCCACTATGCGATTCGAAGAGCAGTACGCGAGCTATATAGCAAAAAATGCAGATGTATACGACCGGACGTCTTCATGCGAAGTCGTTGACGACAGTGATCATAACGATCGAGCTCGGGCAAGCACGCATGATAACGACGGTGCTCTATCTCCCGTTTCGAAAAGACACTTCGAGATCGAACAAGATAGTAGGCGGCTGAACCCCGCACCTCAGTCGCCATCCTTTTCTGATGACAAGACCTTCATCTCTTGTCTGCGCAGGTTTGGAACCACGTATGCGAGCACAGCATCCGTGAACGTAGTGATGCTCTTACTGACGGTGTCGTGCTTCGTCCACCAAGACGTTATCGCGATAATGTATCTACTGGTCGTGCGCAGTATGATGTTCGCATACCCTTCGACAGTTTGTGAACGATGGTGGGCTTTAGCGTGGCTCCTTTCCGTAGTAGTTGTGTTAGAGTATTCGATCATGTTGTGGTTGCCCCCGTTCCTCAACGTCAAAATGGAGGAAACGTTCCCGTGGCAGAAAATGTCGAATACTTATGAGATATGGTTGGTGCCAAGCAACCAACACAAGTGGGCGGCGATGGCAGACTTTGTGGCGCTGATGGGCGTGTATATCCTGCCAGGTATCGAAAAAACCGAAAAACTCACCGAAGATGAGGACAAGAAAGATGTGGTCGATGAAACAGCATTTGTGCACAAGTCGAATGACGGCGGTGGGTTCATTGGAGAGAGTGCGGAGAGCACGGGCTCAATACGTCCCGTGATATCCTCAGAAGTAACTATGTATATCATGCTCACACGAAAGCATGCTTGGTACTTCCTCGAGCATGCTTTTCTTATAAACTGGTTACCCCTGCTTCTTTTCCTGGTCTTCGTGTTTGGCGCAAAGCATGGCGGCGTCGTGTCCGTCGCATATTTATTGGGTGCTCTGATGATGCTGTACCGACTGGATGAAGCGCGCGAGCCGTCAAATTTGTGGATCCAGTATATGCGCAAGTGGAATTGGGCCCACTTGTTTGTTATTACTATCATCAACGTGCCCACTGTCTATGCTGCCCTAAGTGAGTGCGTCATTGGGACAAAAGCGAGCGACGACGATAGCTGTATGACTGTGGCCAATCTTCTGGGTGTCGATGCAAACAAGACTCCCTATGGGCTGATTGCTCTTTTCGTGCTGATCTCGATCCAGTGCGAGATCGTTGCTGCGCCAACGTATCAAATTGCACTTGCAATCCTAGCCAGCGAGCAAAGTAGTGCGTCGATCCGGCGCGAAGCCATCGTACGCGATTTCTACCGACGACGAACGGAGCAGTGGTACATAATGAAGAGGGACAAGAACGCAGCTATTCAGCGTCTCAAAATGATCGTGTCAAAGCTCGTTCACAAGGTCGAAGAGCTTATGGACATTGCTCTGGGACTACACCACAACTTGCCGCCAATGGCACCGTCCAAGCCTGTTGCTACCGATCGAACTCAAAATTCGGCAACGATTTCGTGGGAGAAGCCAGCATACAGTTATCACAAAATCCGCTACTACCGCATTTCAAGGCAGCAGTTTCCGTCGCTGACACTCCTTGGTGATTTTGGAGATATTGTGGAAATCAGCGGCGACCGTAGTGAGGCCAGGATCGAAGGTCTCCGTCCAGGAACGAGTTATCAGTTTAAGGTGTGTGCTGTTTCCCGGCTGGGAGAAGGTCCGTATAGTTCCGCCAGTGACCCCATCGCAACGTACTCGCTGAACCTAAGTGGCACCACGACGGCTGGCTGGATGAAGTATCGTCGAGAAAAGCTTCCTGCCCCTCGCTTTGACTTCTTGGTCTCCTGGATGAAAGCAAGGTACCTCCACCGGTATGTAGTGCTCGACTCGAGTCACTTGGTGTTTTACCAAGACGAAGAACGAGCGCTCATGCACCGCAGTCGCAAACACAGGAAACGCCTGAAAACCTCGTTCAAATGGCGCGATGTCACTTCACTCAAACTGAGTGACTCGAAGGTGCAATTTGACGACGTCTCGCCGTCACTCTACTGTTTCGAGATTGTTGTGCACCATCCTTGCCGTCGCGGAGCTATGAAGTACGTGTTTCAGTCGGAGCTGTCAAAGGAGTTCAACATGTTTCTGTCGGCCTTGGCTTTTGCTGCTCCTCGCGACTCTTTAGATGACAGCATCATCAACTGCCTCAAGGACCGTCAACTGCCAAATCCTATGGATACGAAGCTGCCACATTGTGGTGGCGAAGTCGAGGCAAACTACGATGAAAGCAAGAGTGAGTGGAGCAGTGTGACTGGAGATGGAAGCACACTCGGTGACCCTGAAGATGAAGAGTTTGACGACAAGAGCGCATTCGTGTGGCGAATTCCCTCGTACAGGCTCTTGTACAATATCCAAAACGCTGGATTTAAACTGGAGACGACTCCATACGAAGAAGATGACTTTCACGAGCCTTCCCTGCTCGAGATCGCACAACTCGCCATCAACGGGGCCCGCAGCGAAAGTGCGAGCATCTGCTGCTTAGCCCTGGTTATTTGCTTTACTGTACAGGTACGCTAGTCTAGCGCACACGTCGGCCGTGAGGCATTTGCTCATTCGGTGTTTTTATGTTGGCAGGCGGACTTCCTGAACATGGTCTTTGTGGTCTCTGCCTTTGCAATCTTGCTTGTTGAGAACCCACGCCCATCTCCGCTGATTTGGACCCACTTGCTTGCTTACGTACGTACATGTCAGGTGAATCGAGTCCGACCATGGCAGCTGACGAGAGTTGTGATTACGTTGACAGTCGTGCTGCATTATTGGGCTGCGGTATGTATTCCAGTTGTCAGTTTTCTGTACTGGAATGACGAACCGTGGCTACTTTTACCCGAGTGTTGAGCCGTACTGCACGACCGCAACTGATGCGGCCACTAACGCCAGGTCCATCCAACCAATGGTGCTACTTGGCTTGTACAAGTTTGATGGTATTGCGATCGCCAACGTGACGTCAGTGTATGATGGTCTCCAATGGGACTTTTACGTCATGCTTCTTCTGCTGTGGCATCGACGAGAACTTCGAATGCAAGGATTGTGGAGCGAAGCGTATAGTGGAGACGACGTTGACGATCAGGCATCATCGCGGTACAAGTCTGAGCTGATGCGCGAGCTGCGATCATCTTTTCCCTCTTCACAGGACTCGATCGATGACGCTTTCTCTTACGACGGCCCGGTAAACAGCAAAAAGCTCAAGCAAGCCAAAAGCTTGCGCAGTCACGAGTCCACCTCGCCACGCAGCAGCAAACACCTTTTGACAGCGAGAAGGGCGTCGATGGGTGTCAGTGCTGCTTGTGTGAACAACTCGGAACTATGCAACGAAGTTGCGACTCAAGTGATAGAGGAAATGCTCGAGCAAGAAAAGCTGGAGGCGGATCAGAAGTCGGCGTCGACTGCCGCTTTCGATGATACTGTTGCGCGTTCTCCCTCGTCACGTCGATCGAACGAGTGTTCTGGTCTCTCGCCTCGGTCTCCTAGTATGGGAGAAGACATCGTTGTCTCGAAACAGATAGAGATGGACGCAAACGCGTCAGAGCATGGATTCCACGCTGGCGCAAAGAAGTCATGGCTTGCTGAGAGGTTCCCCAAAGTACACGCGTATTTCCAGACCGTCATTTGCGAGCCGCCCGCCCAATGGGATAAGGATATACAAGTGGCTATCACGGGCGAAAAACCTGGCCGCGACTTTTACACCGCGTCCCTGTCCGTGCTTCTGCTGTCGTCGATTTATGCGGTCATCTTTTACAAGGAACTCGGTGAGGCAGATTCGAGCGATACGTCGGTAGCTGATGCAGATAGCCGAGTGTCATCATCGTCGCTACTTTCCGGCAATCTCGTCCTGCTGGTGTTGACCGAGCTGATCTTCATCGTATGGGATCGAGTGGCTTATGTCTGCTCGTCGCTGCAATCCAAAGTGATACTGCAGTATTCGTACACGTTCGTGCTCCACTTGGCCGTGTGGTACTTACTTCCGAGTGTCAGCAACATCTACTTCCAGCAACGACCCGCGCTTGTGGCTTTTTACCTGTTCCAGTGTGTTTACCTCTGGTTGGGTGCACTACAAATACGTTGTGGGTACCCAGCGTATCTCGGCAGCCGGTACAATTACGCTAAAGCCACAAGTGTGACAGCAATCAGCGAGACGTTGTTTGGTTTGATGATGCTGGCGCCGTTTCTGTTCGAGATGCGGGCTTTGCTGGACTACTTGTGCATGAAAACGTCGCTCAGTTGGCAGCATTGGATTCTCTTGGAAGACACTGTGGCACATGTGTTTGGCGTGAAGGGCATCATGAAGAGTCGAGTTGAGGCGGCAGACATTCTCCAAGGCAAGAATCGTCAGCCGATGAAGACAAAGATGATGTCGGCGGGTGTGATGCTGTTGTTTCTGCTGATTTGCCTCGTCGGTCCACTGGCAATGTTCAGCTCGATCAACCCCAGCACAACCGCAAATAACGTGACGTTGACGACTGTCACGTTCGGCATTGAGGATGAAAAGGAAACTATGAACGAACTGTACTCAAGCAGCGACAGTAACAGTCCGTCGTGCGAGGTGGACCTCAATACGGATAGCGCATCGACGCAGTGCATTGAGTTTGATGTGTTTTCCAACAACATGTGGGGGCTTTCTCCCCCGCGTATGGACCTACTTGTGACGCAGTTACAGTCCACGAAGACGCTCAAGTGGGCCATCACCTTTGCTTTCACGCGCCCTGGTCCTACTGATCGCAAAGTGATTACAGCCAAATATTCAACCAGAGTGACTGACGAGCATCGGAACGCACTGATTCCAATGATCAAACAAACGTTAACAGATGATGAAAGCACGACGCTGCCCTCTGTCCAAATTGATGACCTCTTACCTGCTGTCGTGCAGCTCACAGCAAGTAATGGCGTGCTCCGGCGTTCTACTGAGATGCGCTCGGTGACAATCAGCAAACACTCATTGGGTGGGTCAACGTGGTGGAACATTGAGCCTATCAAGAGCTCACGTGGCTCAAACTACTGCTCGGCTACCTATCCGTTCTGCATCGTTGCAGTCTCGGATCGAATCGTGCAAGGACTGACGACACTCGGCATTAGCTCATATGGACTCACGGCTGTGTACGTTTTTGTGGTAGTCACAGTGGGCAGTGCTGTCAAGGTGTTTTTCCGCGGCAAGCTATTCCGGATCCAGTATGACGAACTACCAGACCCCGGAGACGTGCTCGAACTCGTGGAAGGCATTTACATTGCACGGCACGAGCAGTATGTGGGGCATTTGAAAGACGAAGTGCGTCTGTTTGAGACACTCGTGCGCGTGCTACGGTCGCCGGAGACGCTACTGAAGGTGACAGGCGTCAACGTCATCCACATCCCGACTGCAAAGGAAAAGCTTGATTGAGCCTGTTGGTTATGAGCTCCTGCTGGCACGAATGACTATCGAGACACGTTTGATGTGTAAAGATGAAGGGTTCGCATGGCTGAGACCCACGAATTCGAAAATAGTGATGGAAATACTTGCTGAAATGTCCCGAGATAACGAAAGATACTAATTTACCATGATCTGCTCAACTACCAGAATACTTATGCACACACTGGTGAAAAGGAGCTGCGTCTTGTGATTTATTCTCGACGCAGTGCTTTGTCTAGAAAAGGGCAGGAGCAAACAAAAAGTTTAATGACGTGGGCATGACGTGAGCATGACTTTTTCGTCTGCTACTTTCCGCTCATGACCGATCGGCCCTTTTCACTGAGCTTGTTCATCGGAACAAGAGGATTGCGATCGACATCGCCGAGACAGGTGTTGTCTGAAAGTGCGGACGATACGAAACTTACCCGTAAATGATGTGATGCGTTGTTCACTTATTCCTGGCGTGCTGTACCGTACAGACGCAGTGATGCTACCATGCTGAGGACATCAACACGAAACAACGATAAAGGCGACCGAGATGACCGCCACTGTGTTTCGTTTCGTTCGCGACCGAAATATTGCAAACGTCAGCGTAGTACTTGTCACATACCGGATACGACATTGGTGGTACGACGACGCCGGTCCGTTCTGCGTCCCATATACAGAGCATTCGACTGGCATCAAATGCACTAACGTCCACAACTGCCATTTCAAAGCAATCAGCTCTCGGACGAGCCAACCGGCACGACATGAGCAGACTCGCTGTCAGTCGAGACTGGAGATTATAGCATGAGGAGCGCCGTCCATCACTCGAGGTCGGTCAACGAGCAGCGTGCGATCGCTCACAGCTAGTTCTGCTTTTTCTTCAAGTCGTTATTGACTGGTGCGGATTCGGGCATCAGTTCCCGATTCAAGCTTCGGAGCTCCTCGACCGTTTTCTGCATACAAACGGACACACATTGTCAGTGCGTGGCAACGCAGCAATCCTGACTTCATGCCCGCTCATCGCCGCTAGATAGAGTCAGGTACCCACCATGTTCTTTTCCAGCATGTACATGAGTATCCGCTGGTGGTGTTTCTCCATATCGATGAAGAACACCTTCTTCATCAAGACCGTCGCGAACAGGAGAATCGGGAAATACCAGTGACACCACAACAAAAACTCACGCGGTGTTGTAAACGGCGCTAGTTCCTTAATCACCGGGTCGTAGCGGGTCAACTGGACTGCAATCTCCATGCACATGAGCTACGACCATTGCACGATAAAATATCAGCTGCAGCCCCGAACAAGCATACGTAGAACATGACGTCCACCGTCTCGCATTCACCTACAATCATGAGGCCCACAAACGGCAATTTGCTAGCGGCTTGAGTTGCCTTGGGTGTCGTTACTGCGTAGCTACGACAAATCAACAGCGGCAGCAGCAGTGGCCGTTGCAGGAGCGATCAGTCGGGCAAGATACAAACTTCCCTACGCATCGCCTAGCATCGGTCCTTCGTACATGATAGCCATCCAAAGAAGGTAGAAAAGCCCGATATTGAATATCGTCTCGTGTGCCGACATGTTCTTGCCGGGACCCCAAAAGTCGTACAAGTAGCGCGCTTTGTCGCTGTATATATTCTGATCCAAGACAGCCGATCGATAAATAACATGGAGACACAGCCACCACATACGAAACAAAACGTCAGCCATGTTTCTACAGTTGCAATCCAAGACCTCCTTCACACTATTCCACGCACATCATACGCCGCGTCAATTTTTTGCCAAGCTTCACGAGTCATAGTGCCGAGTTGAAAGTGCTTCCGATAGAAAGCGTACTTCTGTGCCCACTGATATTGCGTCTCCAAGCGACTCATCTGATCACAACAGCACAAATTGTACCACCATCGCGCGTCAAGTGTCCGGACAACAAGAAACAGTACACAAAAAGCTATCAGGTGCTCGGACCAACTTGCCGAGCACGTACCCCCAACGATTGATACACGTTCTTCTCTTCGGGCCACATCCACTGGGCAAAGTATCCGACCAATGCACAAGTACGTCCCGAAGACGGGCACACGCAACAACAACAAAAGAACACCAATATCAATTACCACGTTCCGAACCACTCGTTTATCAGCTTTGAAGATCACGACAACACAATGCGCGGTCAATGGTCGTCTACCGTTGGCAGCCACAGGGCGAGCGTCGGGACCGCAAGCGACACGAGATACACCTGCACAGGCGTCGTCTTCTTCCCTCTATACAGCAGCAGACGAGACGCCAGTGCAGTCACTGGCGCTACGACCACCAGCGCGTAGGCAGCAGCATGTGCGTCCCGCAAGGCGTCCGGGTACAGCCGCAGCAGCTCTGGAGGAGCGGCCATTGGTGCTGTCGACGACGACGCTGGGAGTGGGACGTGGGGGTCGTGTGGACCACACACTAAACCTCCTCGAGCGCATAAATAACTTTCGTGAAAGCTATACGAAAACGACACGTACGACACGCGCACACAATGGGACGCTCGAAAATGAGGTCGACCACGCTATATTCTGCTCCTGACCAGCGCAATGCCGAGGACAAGAAAAAAAGAGTCGCTCCAGCAGTAGAGAGCTCGTCGTCATGGCTGAGCTGCAGGGCAAACGCCGCACGGCGACGGCCGTCCTCTTGTACGTGCCGAACCTCATTGGCTACATGCGCGTGCTGCTGTCGCTGTATAGTCTGGCGATTGCCCACTCGAACTACAAGGCGAGTGTCCTGTGCTACGTCCTGAGCTTCACGTGCGACTACTTTGACGGCTTTTTTGCCCGTCTCTGCGATCAATGTACGACCGGTACTTTTGTTTGTAATAGGACTTTGTTTGTACGTGGGATCGAATTCTCTAAAACGCAAAACGAGGAGTTTAGTTTTGTTGCGTTCGTCCGAGGGACAGCTACTCACTTACTGACGATGGACGATGCAACCTGATGCACTGGTTAACTGACGCTTGGGTGGACTGTTTGACGTTTGTGCTGGGCGATTACAGGCTCGTCGTTTGGTGCGGTGCTGGACATGGTGACCGATCGGTGCTCGACGGCGGGGCTGTTGGTCGTGCTGTCCCACTTGTACCCGCAGTACATGGTCTGCTTCATCTTCCTCCTGGTCCTCGACTTTTCGAGCCACTGGTTCCACATGTACTCGTCTCGTGGCCACCACAAGCTCGTCCCCGCGGAGCGCAACTTCCTGTTGCGTTTCTACTACGGCTGCTACCCGTTCTTTGGCTTTTGCTGTGTTGGCGCCGAGCTCTTCTACATTCTGCTTTACGTGCTCCACTTTGATCCTGCACTGATGATACCGGTCATCAATGTCCCTGTGATGCAGGTACGCGCGCACTTGTGGTCGACAGTGTGCAGCAGCTATATGCCGACGTGTTGCTGACTTATTTTTGCCTGGCGTTGTGTGTTCGTTCGTGTCGACTGTTGCCGCAGCTGTGCTACTACGTGTGCCTGCCCGCCTGTGTGTGCAAGTCCTTCACGAATGTGGCGCAGCTGTGCAGTGCAGCGCACTCGATTGCTTCGGAGGATGCGGCACTTGTGAACAAGACCAAGTAAGGCCCGGAACGGACGAGTCGTTGGTATCATTTTTCGGGATGCAGGTGGTAAGAAGAATGTGGGAAAAGAGGCGACTTGGACGACTTGGACGACTTGATGACAACCCGTTCAAGTCGCCTCTTTGCCCGTACGCACAAATGACGGCAAATCATACCAAAATGTTGATAAAAGTGCAAGACAAAGTTGCAAGGTAGTCATGGTAATTGTCAAGCGTCTACAGCGTTTCCAACGACTACATCACGTCACGTCGCGTGCTCGGACTTGTTTCCATCTTTTCGACGATACAAGATATCATAGTGTCCCGGCCGGTACAAAAGCGTGATGAAGACAGGTACTTGTCGCTCGGCTGCATCCACGGTCGAGCACAGGTAGCTCTGAAGTGGTTCCCCGGGACCTGCGCTTCCGTCCAGATACTCGATCTTCACGCCCACCTCTAGAGCTTCGGTCAAGGCTGCAATCTGCGGCTGGTCACACTCCTTGCCCATCGGTTCCACCTGAGACCGTCAACAAGAGCGACAACACCACACTCTCAGTCACTCACTCACTCACGTTTATCCGCCCATTGCCGCCGCTCGTGTCGACATCCCCCTCACCTCTGTCGAACAAAACTGTGCCACCGTTTGCCCCGGATAGAGTCCGTCAATGAAGGGCTGGAACCTCTCGGCGTTCTTCTTCATGTAGCCAGCAGTCAGCAACCTCATGTACCACACGAGGTACTCCGCTTCACCGCCTTCTGTCTGGAAGTCCTGCACCAGCTCTGCATGCGATCGCGTCTCCATAGCCGCCAAGTACTCGACAAACGTCTCCCAGAACGCGTCAATCGCCACGTCGCTGTACCCGAGAGCTACGAGCTCACTCTTGCTCTGCTGGATCTTGTGCTGAATGCGACTGCGAAGCGCTGCGTTGCTGTCGTCTGCGCCTCGCGACGGCAGCAAATGCTCGCACAGCGTAAAGATAAAGCTCCGGAAGAAACAGTTGCCGTCCCCGCGCACGCGTCGCAGCGCTGCGTACCGCGTGTCGAGCAACTCGATGCCGTGCGTGAAGTTGGCATTCACGTTGCCTGCGTACTCGGCCTTGAGACACAGCAGCGGCAGGCGGTCGCTCAACAAGGGGCGTGCAGGGCCGTCGTCGTCGTTGTTCGTCATGGGGTCGACGAGCTCTTGTAGTGGACGACATTCGGGCGACATGCGACGTTGTGGCTCTTTTTCTGTTCGTTCCGAACGATTAGACAGCGACATTTGCAGCAACCGTCATCACGACAAAATCGACGTGTCGCATTTGCGTCGACTTGTCACACGTGAACAAAAAAAACACCCGACCGACCGCTGAACATCCGACACCACTGCAACTTCAACGTCGTACTGATCTTGTCGTCGTGCTGGTCTTGTCGTCGTGCTGCTTTGCTAGCATGTGCCGAGGTAGTCCACGTCATGTGGTACAGGAGAGCTGCCGACTTGTTCCAGGAGCACTTGCTCCGTGACGACAAAGGTGTGTACTTGCTGCTCACTGCGTCGTTGACGTGGAGAATGCACGTGGCACAGACGGATTCGAGATCGGTGCGCTCTCTCGCCATTCCTCGAAGCTAAAGCCAGTCCAGAGCAGCGGATCGGTCAACAGTTCTGGTCGTGCGTACTCGACGTACTCGTGCATGCCAGCGAGTGGCTGACCAAGTGCCTTTAGTAGACGGCATACACGGGCGAGTGTGTCTTGCGTCTGCTTGACAGTTGTTGCAGATTGAGTCTGAAGCATCTGCTGCTTGAAGTCGAGGTCGTAGCTGTCGAGTAAGCTGTGGATGTTCATGAGGCAAAAGCCCATGAGCTCGCAGTCAATGTCGCCTTTCGTCTCGTTCGGATCGTATGTGCTTGCAAGTGTCGCCGACTGCGAGATCCTTTCGAGCACCGCTTCGTATTTGTCTTGACACATTGCAGCGTTTCGAGTCCCGGATGAGATGGTCCCGAGGAGACTGTCAGTGCTGGTGCTTCGACATCGCGAGCTGTCGTTCATGGTGGTGGAGGTGATCCATTGGTCGGCGAAGCCTGCAAGTTCATGCGCTACAGCTTGCAACGTGGTTTGCAGTTCTGGTGACGGACTAAACCCAGACACGGTCTCTCGTGGAAACAGCAGCGCTGGCCCGAGAAAGTGGTTGAAGAACACAAGATGCATTGCATACAGTTCCAGCTCGCGACTTTGAGCAGCTTCGCCTTCCTGGAACAACTTGGCACACGCGCGGCATAAGATCACAAGTTCAGTTGGAAGTGCTTCGACGTGCACGACGAGTCTATCGAGTAGACGTTCGAGCTCCAAGTCGGTGTCGTTGCAATCTGATGGAGCCGTGTTATCACTTTGCACCAGCACTTGTGCAGTCCACTTGCTTCCCACGATACGGCAGAAACAAGCAAGCGCTTTGCTAGCGGTGCTATGCCCTCGTAGGAATCTGTAACGCCGAACTCGCGGCGTTTCGCTCGTAGTGGCGCAGTATTCGGCTGCAATAAGCTGGAAGACAAATCGCGTTCCCTGGCGTTCGGTTTCTAGCACCGGCAGTAGACTTCGCAGTACAAACGCCTGCGTCAGCATCTCTGCCTGCGTCTGACAGGCGTCAGCGTCCACACAACACTTTAGCAGACACACGCTCACCCGCAAGTTTGGCGCCAGAAGCAAGTCCGCTAGATCCATGAGCAGCACCGAGTACTCATAGTCATTCTGCGCCACTTGCGCCTGGAACAGCCGCTGCTTTTGCTCAAGCTTCTGTCGCTGCTTCTTACGCATTCGACTGCAGCAACAGCAGCAGCAACAGAGTCCGATGGAGTTGCAGGACGAACTTGACCAGACAAACCATCCCGCAAGGAGGACGAGCAGAGTGGAGATGTATCGCTTCAGTTTTGAGGTCAACATGGAAACCACGTTCTCCTCAGCGATCGAGTCACTTCGATCGTTTGTCGGGAAAGTGACTGTAAACGCAACTTCGCATTCACGCGCGTCAGCAGCACTCGTTTCCTTGTCGACTCGCTTGATCCACAGCACGAATTCTACTGCGTGGGAGCTGGCGATACCCGACAAGTCGCGAAACGTGAGCGCCGAGAGCGCCTCACTGAGTACGCTTTTGGTTCCGATAACCTGAATGTGTGAAGGATCGTAGAGCTGCGTAGCGATATGGAACCGCAGCTCATTGCTCGGACTTGAGCTCGTGTTGACGAAATATCCATTTGCGCTTCGTAATAGTGTGCACGGGCGCCCGAAGGAGCACCAGATCATGATGTCATCGTTGGTGATAGCAAACCCCAGCTCGAACTCCGATACGCCGTCTACGGCTTCGAGGTTCACTTGATACAGATCGTCCAAGTCCGTGCTGTCGGGGTCCCCGAACGCAATCGGTGTTGCAACCGGCTTGTCGAACGACGAGTTGGTAGTGAATGCGAACGGAGGAAGCACAACTATGGCGTCAGGCACGTTCACAACTCCCAACTCGATTCTGCGCACTACTGAGCCATTGACATACGATGCGCTCGGTGACTTTTCATGTACCAGCAGCGAGGTATTACGCGGGACCGTCGTGTGGAGGACTTGGTACTCGAAGTAGTCAACGCCGATTGCAGCTCGGAGCGACATGTTCGACTCCATGTTGAAGTAATCCAGTTCAGGCGCGTAGATCACCTTGCCGTGGTAGTCTGAAACAGTGTCTCCGGGCGTCGAGATGCGTGGTCCAACAGACTCGAAGGGTACACCAAGCACGCTGATATTGCCGCTGTCCTGATTGTTGTACTGGAAAAGAGTTCCATGCCGTGGCAGTGTTGTTACTCTGAGTCGTGTTGCGACATTGGCAAATGCAGCCAGAGGATCTAGCGTGAGCAGATCCAGTACTCGGAGCGAGTCTTCCTCAACTTGGACGGCTGCAAGTACTTTGAGGTTTACTGAACGACTCGTTGTATTCTCGAGGATGAAGCTGACCTTAGCCACTGCTGAGAACACACCAGGTTCTCCATCCGATAATCTGTACCACAGCTGATCAACTACGGAGGAAGCATTCTCGTTCCGCACATACTTGTTCTGTTCCAAGCCGCGATAGATGTACAGTAGGTGAGTGGAATGCGTTGCGTTTTCCATGTACGTACTATTTCGATAGATCCGACTGGGAGACAAGGACTGTCGATCCTCGTTCTGCTCGACATCCAACGCACTACAGCGGACTCTACAATCAAATAACGTGCCAAACTGCGGCAGTCGCACGACTTTCAGCATCTGCAGGTTCGAGACAACGACTGTTGCGTTTCGAAACGTGAGTCTCGACAGCAGATCCTTCGGTTCCGGTACACTGGCATTTGACGTGATGGCTGGAGGAGATCCATCGCTATCATCACCTTCCAAATTCAAAGAAACAGGAACACCAGCCTCAATGTGAACTTCCAGCGCATACTTCCGAGGACGTGGGGCATCGTTTACCGCATCTACGAATATATCAAACTTCGCTTCGATGCTCTTGTTGACGACCCGTCCTGCCAAACTGTTGGCAATGCCAAACTTGACCGTCGCGTATGGCATCAGCCTCCGTGAAAATGCCACGGGGTTTGGCAACGGAAGGTTCTCGTTATTTTGATCGACCTGTGGTCGAAAAAAATGCTGCGCTGGTATACCAGCGGTAGCTCTCGAAACGCGTGCTGGTTGCTCCGAGTCACTTTCGTCTTGTTCGGATACAGCAGCAGCTGTCCAAACTCGGGTAGGTCACGTATCTCTAAGCGCAAGTCATCGTAAACGCCATGAAGCATCGTGAGGTTCAAAAGGACGGTGGTGTCCTCACGCATTCGCACTGTTTGCTCTCTCGATGGGAACTCTCGAGATGGCATCAGTCGCTGCTTTGTAATCGCATGCACTTGGTCTTCCGACACCACACGACGGTAGATGGCAAAATGAAAGACGTCAAACGTCGCGCTGGCTGCACCTTGGAAAAGCGCAGCTCTCGAGAAGTCGTCACTGCCGCTACGACTTTGATCGCTCGATGATGTGGATTGCTGTGCAACGACAGGATCCTTCATCTTTTGTTGTACCAACGATACGAGGTAGTCGACGATCTCGTCGCCATGCTGCTGCTTCAATTCTGCAAGCTTGCTGCGGAGATAAGCTAGTGGCGTGTCCTCATTCAGCGGTGGGAACGTGATTCCTAAAATGTCCAGCGATAGCGAGTTGTCCCCGAAGATCCGCATAGCCTTTGGCAAACGCGGTCCTTTGATCCTCATCAGTTTCTGCTTCAGCTTTGCACGGAGCCGCTCGGTAGCGTTCAGATGACTTGTGTTTCCAAGAAGCTGAATGTCACGCGCAGGGGCCAGACGCTTCCGTTGTCGTGGCGCAGCAACGTTGCGAGGGCTGTTGCCCACGTAGAGTCGATACCGACCTTCAACGAGTTTGTTGAGGATCCGAGCGTCGGGTGGATGCTGTTCATCGTGCACGACGCAATCAACTCGTTGACCTGTCTCGAGATCCGTGTAGCTCATGTAGAAGTCGGTTTTCCACATGCCTCTGTCGCTTGACGGATCCAACGTGACAATGATCTGTACAGGTGGCGTTCGTTCAACAGGTTCTTGGAGAGGCGGAAGTTGGCATACTGCCGAGTTGTCCACTGAAAAGAGCCGCTGCTCATAGCACGCCTCAACTCCTGCTTCGCCACCGTCCTCTAGCACGGGTAAGAAGTACACAAACGCTAGCACTTGATGCTCGTTCAAGTCGAGGCGAAAGCCAGGGTCCACGCAGCTGTCGTACTCATTGGCGATGGAGAATAGCGTCATGCTGCGGTTAGCTACGGCACGGCGCCTGATGACCATCTCGAATGTCACACCCGAGTTGATCATTGTGTCATTCCGAACAGCTGCCGTCGTGAAGAAGTCACGAGCCGAAACCGTGCTCGTTGACGAGAGTTGCACCCGCTCGGTGTCGTTGCTTGGATCCTCAGCGAGGTGGACTCCTAGCTGCCAGAAAGTAGACGCAGTGTTCAAGCTCGTTACGAGCTCACCGTCAGCTTCGAGAGCATCGAAAGGACAAGCGTTATTTAGAACGCGATTCATGACAGTAGTGCCTGCGTTCGTAGCAAGGTCATCGAAAGCATAAAGACACATGGGGTGCCAGGCCGCTCGCTCCTGAAGAAAGTGAGCAATGTCCAAGTCTCGAGCAGACCGCTGCGACATCGCGCTACCGAACAGCACGACACACAGCAGCACGAGTTCCGCCCGCATCGCTACCATGCACTCAGCCTCGTCTCGCCTGTATCTTATTTAGACGTGTCAAATAGCCGTTAACAGCGACTTTGACCGCTTGCCCATCTCGCTGCTAGAGCGGCACTTCGGACCCAAAGCACATCACGCGATTGAGATGTCTCTCGCCGTTCAGCGTCGCCGGCACAACAACATGGGTCAAGAGCGCAGGGTAGAAAGGTACAGTCCAGACGAATCGACATCTGCGTTTCTTTTCTCGCTTGCATTTCGTATGTGGAGCGCGTGTCTCTGTTGTTGAAGGTGAGGTACATTGAGGAACGTTATCGACCAACAGTACCCATGCCATGAAGAGTTAACTATCCGGGGTTGCTATCTATGGTGAATGAGGGCGCCACCGCGCGAAGAGCGGTTCTCCTGGTCATCATTTGTTGTGCTGGCAATGCCCGCTCGCGGACAGTCTGCTTGTTGCGGGGTGCCGATCCACTGTCGAGGGGGCGCGTGTCTCTGCGCGAGGCAGCGAGGCATCGATCCTGCAGGCACATGACCCATTGTCTGCGCTCCAGGGTGTCTCATTCATTTCATCGCATCGTGGTGGTGTTGGTGACGATTTCTCAGCTCTCGATCATGCACCGATCTGGCTTCACGACCCTCGAAACAGTCAGGTAACTCCCACGATGCTACCGTTGTCCTGTCAAAAAAAGCAAGACAGGCTGACTGCACGAGTCAGTAGGAAAGCAAACGAAACAGCCCGACTCGAGCGGTGATGGCCATTTCCACTCACTCACCCACTCACCCACGTCCCCACTTACCCAGCAGCGCGGTTGGCAACCCGACAGGTTACTCATTTTTCGGCGACATGTTTTCGATCGCAAAACGACATTTCGACCAAATAACGGACCCCACAACCGAACTTGTATCGCAACATAGACGACGTGCATGTCACCGATGGCCAAGTTGCACTGCGTCGGCGATGTACGCCGCGCTGCATAGAGTGAGTGCTTTTTGGCAGTCAGCCAGCCAGCCCATCCTTCATCACATCCGTGTCGCGTCATGCGTCAGTAGCGTGATACGTCTCGTCGCTCATGAGGCGTATTGTCCACCTTCTCCGTTCTGACACCATCCGCTTGCGGCGTTACTTGTGCTGCTGATTTTTACCACCTGGTGCGGGGCGCCTTTCGTCCTCGAAGCGATGATGGGGCTTTCATCATCCCGTGCCTTCTCTTCGGCCTCGAGTCTCTCACTTTCGATTCTACGAGCTCCAGCCGAAGATGGCTCCCACGCGTGCACGAACACTCGACATCTACGAAAGAGAGAGGAACCCGTCGATTCTGGCCACGAGTCAAGACGACTTTGACCTGCACGACGATTGGAACGAGCTCGACAGAGGCTTTGGATCCCGCTGGCGGAACTCGTGTCCTGACAAGAAGACGACAGGTTCATCTACCTCTCGCTGGACCTCGCGTCTTACGTCGCTATCGTTGAGTCTAACAGGGGCTGGCACCGCGCTGACCTCGCGGGCCAAGCATCTCAGTATGACCGATTCGACTCAGCAGACCGTGAGCCGTCTTCGCAAAGCTGTGAAAGGCGCATCGTCTCGGACAGAAGTCATGCAGAGAGGCGCGACCAGTGCGCATGGCCGGCCGGGCGAGGTCGATGATATGGACGACCAGCCCGAGAGCGAAAGCGGCTGCACCGACGACGACATGTACGCGAATTTGAAGGTGCTTCAGTCACCAGTCAAGCGCGTGCACGCAGGACGAGCAAAGACATTGACCAAATGGATTCGCCATCGGTCGAGCGCAAGCAACTGAGCTTTATCGAGTAGGCACTTGTCACTTGTAGATTAAATACACAGAAAGCCGTGCACGTTTGCTCCATGAATCTCTTTCTCTCACTGCATTCACATGTCAAGAAAGTTCATCGAAGTCAAAGCAGAAGGAACGGGAGACAACGACTGGACTGTAGTAGCCAACCTTCACACGCCAAGAGAGAAAGAGCACGGCAATAAGAACTACAGCAATGCTTTCCCGTGCACTGTGCTGCATCATACGCTCGTTTCTAGGCACTGTTGGAAGCGCATCAGGGAGGCAGTCAAAGGACGCCAGTTCCCAAAGCATGCGAGCGCGAGCTGAAGCTGGTGAGGATAGAGAGGAACGCGTCAACGAGACAAGAGACAATGACAGCAATGCGAGATCTGCACGAGAGCTTTGCAGCAAGACAGAGACAGCGGAGACCCTCAGTCGATTGCTCCGTGCCCGCCGACAGGAGTTCGAAGCCAGATGTCAATTGCAGTTGGAAGATCATGACGTAGCGGATGTTGCGGGACGCCAAGCGAAGGACACAGAACACCCGCCTGCTGTGCCGCCTATCGTCGTGAAGAAGTCGAAATTGACCCAGTGGATCGAGGCGTTCGAAGCGCGGCACCACTTTACAGTGGAAGACAAGCATCTTCGAGACTCTGAGGCGCTGCAGGCGTCGCAGTTGACCACGTGGCTGGCCGATTTCAAGCTCAAGCGCCACGACGACCGATCTGCAGCATCGATCGTCGTTTAGTCGTTTTCTCTGTGACTACGCGAATCAGTGCGCCAAAACGCTCTGCAACGTGCATGTAGCAAGCAAACATGCACGTAGCAAGTAAATAGGATACCTAGATCGTGTTGAATTGACATGCCTAGCGTCTATGTCCGCAAACGCGGAACTTCTCTACATCATTATCAAAAGCGTAGGAGAACTACTGCTGTAAACGGTCGTGACTAGTGCTTTCCTCGTGCAACAGTATGCGGTGAGATCGCAGCGCGCCGTTCACGTTTGTATCGCTGTCTACAAACGTTTGAAGCTCCAGATATGTGATTGTGCCGCCAGCTGCGCCCCGTGCTTTCGGGCGTGGTGGACGATTCATCTATATTATGAGCCGTTGACTTTTCGAGATTACTTAGCCTACTAGGAACCGCCTGCGTTGCGTGGGTCATTTAGAATCGGGAACCGTACTATTGAATGCGTTTGGTTTGCGTACACTTGGTGTCGTGAAGCCCCCCGGAAAGGCAGCAATGACACGACCCGTCAGTTAAAGAAAAAGCGGAAGTCCTCCGTCGACGCATTACATAGTAAGCACAAAAGTTGTACGTGCACGTTTGTACATTACGTGGAATTGTGTATAATTTGTCAGTTGACTACGATGAACTCAGCGTCGACGCTTGAGCGCGTTGTACGAGCTTCTCTGTACGTCGTCTGTTACTTGATACAAGCACAACCCGTGTAGATGAAGTTGACCGCGTGCACGATCTACTCGGGATGCCTTAGTACTGATGTACCCTGTGTCAGGTCGAAATGGCTCAGCTACAGCTGGTGTCGTTCAGCGGTACCCGTCGACCACACCGAGCGATTTAGGTGTGAGCAGCTAAATCACTCGGTGTACTTGATGCTAGTACCATCGAGCGGCGACGATGGATGTGGCGCCCGATAGCTTCCGCAGACGTTCGCCACATACTTGGTCAAGACCAAGACACAGCTACGCGAATGGCGTCGTTGGGTCCTTGAAAATCTGACTTCGGACCACTTCCAGCTTGCACATCCAAACTGATTCTTTAAGTCCAACGAGCTCCAACAAAGCCGCCTTGTGTGTAGCCCATCTTCGACGCGGTATGAAGCAACAAAACACTGATGGACCATTCAGCTAGCTTCGTTTTATCTCGATGAAGCCAACTCGCGCAGAAGTTGAATCGGTGAACGTTCACCCTCTGCGTAAATATGTGGTCTTGACGCCACTTTTCGACTGAAGAACGATCAAGCACCAGTAGAATGATAGCGTTCTACTGGTGCTTGATCGTTCTTATAATTTACACTACAATCAAAACGCCGTGACTTCTCGTAACGTTACAGCATTATCGTCGAAGCTGACATGCGAGTAACATGAGTAAACAGGAGCCTCTACTTCACCTTTGCCTCATGTCTTTTTCGTAAAATACTGCTTGTCTTTATCAGTATCGCCGTTCACCTTCAATAGCGATCATACCCAACTTTACGCAACGCTGTTATGTCGTTTCGCGCCGTTGTTGTTAGCCATGTTGCGCCGCATATTGTGTTCAGGTCGACCAACGAAGCACATGTACTGTCACATCACATTCATTCGTTGAGCTCGTCATCATATCGCGGTCATCATATCAATAAGAAACAATAAACATTTGCGTAAATAAAAAACACATTACACAATGCAAGAAATATTGTGCCAACGACGTACACCAGACGCACGAATATACACATATATGCCTCGGATCATTCGTACATATCTACTTTATTTTCTCTCCTTCTTTTACATCGGACACCTCTGCGGCTTCTGCGGTCGACAGTCATTTTGAAAGAGGAAAAGAGTGCGCCGACTCTTCAAGTGTAGCCCCGCAGCGACAGCTATTGTCGCCCGAAAAGCCACGTTGAAGCTATCTCTTTCATGCAAATGTACTGCTCTGACCTTACACCCATGTGTAGCTGTCACTATGACGATATCTTGGTTTTTAATCGAAAGCGACAGCGCAGTGTCAAAGTGGGCTTTAAAACGGTTGAGAGATGTTAAGAACCGACATATATCAGTGTGAGACGGCGATTGAACAAATGTAACTAGAGCAGACATTATACGAAAGATATGACTGAACACGTGGTGCTATTGCAGGTAGGTGTGCAGATAACTGCGGACACATAAGCGAGAAGAATGCTGATAGAGCGTGCAGTACTAATGGAGTGTTCAACCAGTCATATAATAAGCCGCTAAATGGGGTAGCGATGCTGGTGTTAATCTTGAAATTGCCGCCTGCAAACTGTGAAGATAAGTGCAACATTGCTATCTGCGCTGTAGGACATAGAGCGCACACAGATGTATGTACCTCGGTCCTCCTCGGGCCAATAACACGATGATCTCACACTTCAATATGCTACCTTCTCAACTTTATCGGTATAATTGCAAAAACACTCGATGCTCGCGTCACAGATTTATGTATCTTCAAGCAAGGTTCATGCGTGTGAACAACTGTTATGGAGTGGCACGAAGTGATCGATTCATTCACGAGGCCAATCCGACACCACCAAATTATAGCAACTTCTTCATCTCGACCGACAATTGATGTCGTTCTACGGCTATATAGATATTTTCAAATGTGGTCGTACCAATGTGCACGTTTGAACGTATAGTATACAACGATGGTATATCTCTTTCAGTATTCCCTTTTGCAGCTTTGACTATCTGATCAAAAAAAATCATATTTACTTATTAAATGGCTAGAATTGATTAGACAAGGCTTCGACGTGCTATAGTGAGCCCCATCTATAACCTGTAACAATATTCGATCTCTGTCACTCAGCTACTCCTCCCCATCTTCTACTTAAAGCACAAATCTAAAATTATAGATGGCTAGAGTATGCTACTGGCTTTGTTTCTATAGTATCGACAATTTTTTTGCGAAGTCATAGGACCCTACAGTTAAAAAAATTGATTCTGGCTCGCGGCGAGCCACATTTGGCGGCCCCAAATTTCCCGCGTAGACATAATTTTTTTTATTTTTTGCCAAAAATTTCACGTCCAGCCCCATTAATCAGTAGACGTATTAGCGTAAAAGAACCATTTTTGTTGTCTTAAAGTGCAAAAATGGCTGTCGTCACCCAAACTGGCATGGTTTTGCCTGTTCATGCCCTCTATTATCTAAAAACGATGCATTAAAATACCCAAACCCATCACTGTTGCCAAACTATTAAAAGTACAATTCTTGGCAGCAGTTAAAACGTTCACATCCGTTAAAATTAAATTTGGGACGTTACGGCGCGACCGATACTTCTTCACGGTGTTTTCGGCTGCCTTCTTAGTCAGGATCTTGCGATATACGTCCGTTTACCAGAAGCTCTTTTGAGAATGGCGGCGGATGCAGTGAGAGACGAATACAAGGGTTTTGGGACCATCTGCTCGAGGCCTTTGAACGTGCAGTATCCAATTTCCGAGAATGGCATCCTGATTCTTCCCAAAAAATCTCGATGAAGATCAGTTCGCCATGAAGCCGAGGGTAACACAATTCAATGGCCAGCCGCAAAGAATGATTTCATTCAAGAGCCAAAAGGGCTCTTGAAATACAATAATTTTGGATGACACTGCGGGCGTATCAACTGCCCTTATAACCTGCAAGTGCCGTCGCCATTTGTTGGGGCGCGGCATTTTGGTGATTGTTGACTCATGAGTACATTGATTGGAGATAAAAACGTGCAAATGGCGTGCTTGTTGTGTGAAGTGCGACGGGAGAGTTAAAATGGCGCTCGGTTGGGGAAACGGCAAAAAAAGGCTTTATTTTTCAAATTTGGCCGCCCAAAAAAAGTTACAGGTTATAGGTGGTGCGATCCGTAGCAATTATATTCAGAAGTCAGTATCGCACCCGAATTATTTACGAATTCGGCACTTCGAGACCGATTTTAATACAGCCGTCGAGTGATCCGTACGATCGGAGATTACCTCAGGCACCAGGTAGGAAGCTTCGCGTACCTGCTCTTACTACTATAATCATACTCCGGCGTCGCTAAGTGATGTGTGTCTCGTAATGTCTCTGCAATATGCACGTTTGACATCGATGTTCAACGACACTTGTAATCGACATAGGATTCGGACAAAAAGGCTTGCACTGTTCGTCACATTGCTGTGCGAGGATCTTATCAACGGCAGTAGCGCTTAGGCGACACGCGGTCGTAGAGTGAAGCAATGCCCGACTAAAACAAGACAACCGATCTGGATGGTCCATATCATAACGAATGCGCAGGCTTCACTCGTCTATGTCTTCATGTAAATATGCACTCTAACTTAGAGAGCTCTCATTGGCTTTCAAAGAGGTGATCGCGACGTGGTCGATAAAGTAGTTCGCGTAGTAAAAAATAATATCATTTTTAAAAATTGATAAATTTTTGAACTTGTTCACGACTTCTTTCGAGTACACCCTCTCTTTGCCCTCTTCGTCTACATACGTTTCACACAGCTGTGTTACCCTTACAGCAGCGTCAACGGCTATATTCCACGTATCAAAGATGAGTTCGAGGCAGAGGTCATTTCGAGGAAGAAAAAAGTCAAGGTCCGGGATTTTTATTGGCTTGGATGCGTACCATATGGTTCGCTCGCCAATGAAGGGAAGCGGATTGACGCAGAGTTGAGAAGGAGAGAGAGAGAGAGAGAGAGAGAGAGAGAGAGAGAGAGAGAGAGAGAGAGAGAGAGAGAGAGAGAGAGAAGACCGGCGGTAGCATACGTGTCCGGTATATTGAAACGTAGATTACGTAAGAAAAACTGCGTTGACAAGTGAAATCATAGAGGTCCTGAAAGATTGGTCGAAGATGCTTTGTTGCATTCCTGTATCGACCTTTTCAATGGTAGACTTTGCGGCATCCCGGCCTATACAGATGTTTGCACGACAAGCTACCCAGACTTTGACGCTTATGACCTGGCTCAGGCGTTTCACAGACACTTTTGTACATTATTATGTGTATACAGACCAGCACCAAATCACTTTCTCCCACCCACCGCGCCACTTCTTAGCAACACC